TTTTAAATTTTCTCTTCATTACTGGTTTTGAATAATGTGATTATGACATGTTTTGGTGTAATTTTATCAAATTTCTTGTGCTTGGGCTTTACTGAGCTTCTTGAGTCTGTGCATTTGTAGTTTTTATCATTGGGCAAAATTTGCTTTGCCCAAGTAAATTACTTCATCAAATATTTTTCTTTCTTCCTCTCTCTTCTTTATGTTAGGAACTCCAGTTACATACATTAGGCTGTTGAAGATGTCCTAAAATTCACTGTTGCTCTTTACAATTTTTTTCTGTTTTATTTTGGATAGTTTTTCACTATTCTTTTCTTCTACAATGTCTAATCTCTTATTATTATTTTCATCTTATTATTTTCACTTATTATTAATTTCATCCGATGTTTTTAGCTAATACCATCCAGTATGTTTTCTAAATCATACATTATAGTGCTTATTTCTAGAAGTTCGATTTTCCCTTCTTTATATCTCCCATATCCCTAATCAACTTTCAAACATATGGGTTATAGTTATAAGAACTGCTTTAATATTCTTGTCTGCTATTCTAACTTCTGTTTCAGTTCTCTCTCTCTCTCTCTCTTATTATGCATAGTATTTTCTTGCTTCTTTGCACATCCAGTAGTTTTTGATGGGATATTGGATATGGTGAATTTTACCTTGTTGGGTACTGGATACTTTTGTATTCCTATACACGAACTTTGGGGTGCAGTTATTTGGAAACACTTTGATCCTTTTATGTCTTGTTTTCAAGGTTTATTAGGTGAGACCAAAGCAGCATTTAGCTTACAACTATTTACTCCCCAACTAACAAAATAAGACAATTTTTTTTTTTAAGGTGGCTTCTACCCAATTCCCTTTAAATTATGAGGTATTCAAGTCTGGCTATTGGGAATAGGCACTTTTCTTGCCTTATATGAAGTGTGAACATTAGAACCATTCCCTCTAATCCTCTTGAATGGTTCTTTCCTGATCTCAGGTAGTTTCTTATCTGTATGGGTCAATCAGGACTCTGATGAATGACTACTCTTTAGATTTCTGGAGTTCTATATCTCTACAGCTCTCCCCTCTCTGGTACTTTATCTTGTTAACTTGAGCCACAATGGCTCTCCCCAGACCCTGATTCAACTCTTCAACTCAAGAAGTCTATCAGGTCTGCCTCGGTTCTCCCTCATATGTTGCTTGGAAATCCTCTCAAAGGAGTAAGCTGGAGCAATCATAGGTATTATATCATTTGTTTCCTATTTCTTGGAGATTACTGTTCTTCATTTCTTAACGTCCAGTATCTTGAAAACTATTTTTCCACGTAAGTTGTCTTTTATTATGATTATTATTGTTTCAGGTGAAAGGGTGAATCTAATTCTTATTAGTCCTATTTGGCAGAAGCAGAGGTACATAGATGGTCTTTTGTCCACTCTTTTCACTCTACACAGTTGACTTTTAAATTTCATGAACACTCTTAAACACTCCAATTTCCAGAACATTCAGTGAAGGAGAAATTCCTGCTGAACTCTCTCTCTGGGACTTGGCAAACAACCCCATAGGGCCTAATTATAATCAATCTTTTGAGAGACACAAATGGTGGCTATCTCTTATATCTTATATGTTATATCATATAATCAATCTTTTGAGAGACACAAATGGTGGCTATCTCTTATATCTCTTTAATGTAGTCAAAGTTAAAAGCAAATTTATATTTCTGGGCAACTATAAAAAATTATGGCAGGTCCAAGAGACTATGCTGTTTCAAACATGACTAAAAACACACTGAAAATAATTCATTCACTGGCACCCCGCCAGTCTCCCAGTGACACTGTAAAAGTTTAGGCCCTGAGAGAATCTTGGCTCAGAGGCCCCGATCTTTTTATGTTAGTACATTTCTCCCTAAGAGTAAACAATGTAGTTTCAAAGGACATTCATTCTTTGAAGCCAGTTTGAAAATCAGTGCTGCAGGATACTAAGTAGTACCTCAGTAGCCTGACAGAGATAATGTTCAACTGCAATGTTTTCACTATGCCAGGATATAATTTATGCTTTTAGCACACACCCCTTCCCTCTGTGTGTGCCTCAGCTCAGTGGAGTTTGTGAATAACCAACTGTGGTCCAGTTTCCATCAGGTTTCTTTCTGAATGGGTACAATGTTCTAACTTCAAACCATAGTGGGTTTGGTCATACTGGGCACTGAATTGGGCTTGGATACTCCCTCTCAAAAATTAGACAGAGCTGGTCACCCCGGCTCCCAAAGCTTGTATTAGGGGGAGAGGCATTAACAATAGTTAAACTACCTCTCATCATCAAATGTAATAGGATCTATTAAAAAGAAATGTTCAAAATGTATATAGTTATTACTAGGCAGCTTTTAAAAGTTTTTTTTTTTTTTTAAGATTTTATTTATTTATTTGACAGAGAGAGATCACAAGTAGGCAGAGAGGCAGGCAGAGAGAGAGGAGGAAGCAGGCTCCCCGCTGAGCAGAGAGCCCGATGCGGGACTCGATCCCAGGACCCTGAGATCATGACCCGAGCCGAAGGCAGCGGCTCAACCCACTGAGCCACCCAGGCGCCCACTAGGCAGCTTTTAATAATCGATGTACCCTCTGATCCATATATCACTTAAAATTCTTCCTTAAGTAGAGACTTTTGATGACCAAAGGTGAAGAGATAAATGAGGCTGATCAAAATCTATTCCATTTCATGCCACCAAGAATGGCTTTAGTCCTGGGAAAGATTTTTGGCCAAGATAGCACAAGTAACGGAAGCCCAGTGATCTGTGTCCTTATGATATCAAAGCAGTGAGAACGACTGATGTCACATTAGCCCATCAATGAAATTAAAATAGAAAGTTGTTCATGTCCAAGTTTGTGTATAAGCTTGCTAGTATAAACACACCTGACCCACTGGAAGCAGAGTAAAGTTAGAGTTATGGAGGGGAAAAGGAATAGACATCAGAAAATATCTCTTCTTTATTTATTGAATGCTTTTCATTGTCCAGTGGGATCCAGAATCGTGTTCATTAAGCAATCAAGCTTTACATTTATTTGTTCAATAGAACATAATATCTGTTGATCCCTTCCCACACCCCTCTTTTTTAAAAAATCTGTTTAATTATTTTAAATACTTGGGGACAATTCAATTACAAATGGCACCGGTAAAATAAAAGTGCTTAATGAAGGTAATAAAATTTAACTCACAAGCCCACATGACACCATCATAACAGATGATGTATGTATATTATAGATATTTGTAGCACAATATAAAAATGCAACAAGATCCCATATTAAAGATTTGGGACTTACTCTGCACTTTTATGCTGTAGGAATTCAGATGGGCTAGTCACTGGGTGCAGGATGGGTCAGGTGTCCAGGTGCTGGGTTTATATCTAACACCATTCTCCTCTACTGTACATGTTCTGGCTTGTGTTACCTTGACTTGGGTTTAATGATATCTGGCAATAAACCTTACCCATAATAAAGTTTGGCTAGGATAACTGTCATTTTGAATTCTGGGGGTTTTTTTGTGGGTTGTTGTTTTTTTTAAGATTTTATTTATTTATTTGAAAGAGAGAGAGAGAGATCACAAGTAGGCAGAGCAGCAGGCAGAGAGAGAGGGAAGCAGGCTCCCTGCTGAGCAGAGAGCCCAATGTGGGGATCGCTCCCAGAATCCCAAGATCATGACCTGAGCTGAAGACAGAAGCTTAACCCACTGAGCCACCCAGGCGCCCCTTGAATTCTGTTTTGTCTCTGTGTAATTCATGTCTTAGTCACAATCATTCAAGGAGCTATTTATTTTTATTTTTATTAGATATATGGTTTCCATTTGCATAAACAATTCGGTGAAAAACTGCACATGGGTGTTCCCTAGGAATTATGTGATAAGACACCTGGAGTGAATTATTGAATGAGCTTAAAAGAAAAGTCTTGAGAACTGATTTCGTGCATATGAGTAAAGAAAGCCTGTCACAGTGGCTTAGAGATGAAAGCTAGAGGGGCTGCTTCCTTTTTAATAGGTGGAGTTGTGTTCAAATTTCTTCTTACTCCTCAATCTGGATACTCAGCAGCTGTCCTTCAATGACATTAAAACCAAACCATCAAAGAACAGCTTAGCATCCAATGCAATGTCTCTAGCGAGGTATGATTCAAAAGCATCTGGGACTCTTAACACAAACCGCTAACTCTAGAAGCTTGCATTTTCAGTTTTAGTATATGTGCTGCCGAAGTAAGCATGCATGTTCAGTTTAATATCATGTACATGTATGAAGGAGTCGCCAAGAATAAGCCCATGTTACAAATGAAACAGGAGGTTGATATAAAAGGTGAGAACAGTTTTCTCAGTAGGCTAGTACAAAGTCTGAAGGATAATATAATCTGAACTTTTCAGGCTTTAGAGAGAGTAGAATGCTCTTTGTGAAAAGTAAAAGCAATGTTCATGGAGCACATAACAAGGTAGGTTCAGTCTAACTAGTTTGGTGGGGATTGCCATTCGGAACTCGCCTTTGAGACTTGTTCTTGCTGACCAACCTGCATTCTACAACTATGCACATTCTCCAACATGTGGGCCTCCCAACACAGTGATAACACCGAGCAGATTTCTCTTCTTACCAAAAGCAGTAATTCCTCATTAAAAGAGAAAATGCTAAAACTGAAAACATGGAGCACTTCCCATTTATGCTGCACAATTCACAACCAAAGACTCGTAGTCCATTCCATTCCAAACAGTAAGTCCTGAGGCAACTTTAAAGTGAAAATGAAAAAATGGCAAGTAGTGAAGAGAGAGAGTATAGAATGCATTTGAGATGGAGCAAAGGATGGCAGAGGGGAAGAGACACAATGCTAATCTGTAAATTGCTGAAATAGGGATGGAATACTCCCTACATGTAGTGAAGGGATTTTTCACAGTATAATATAAGACTATATTAACAATCACAATTCAATTCTAGGTGTAATTCTAACAAACCTGCATTAAATTGCACATTTTATGGAAAAATATAATGGGAATTATGCTCTTACCATCTGCTTTCTTTGAATCACTTCCGACATTGGATTGATCCTTCCTGTCTGTCTTATTTTGACCATTTTTCACGTCACCTGAAAGTAATAAACATGACAAACAGCATATGTATACAGCTAAAAGGGAAGTTATAAATAGTCCTAAACTTGTCAAGGTAAAAAGATGAAAAAGAAAAAAAGTACATAATTTTAGTCATGAGGGGGTACATGTCTGAATGTAAATACCTTTTTAAACCATATATTAGGTCTTAAAAGTTAGATTATGATCCAGAAATTAAGACAAAGTTCCTGTTAAACAACTTGAGCACTTGAGCCAATAATGTTTATTTTTGAGAAAAGAAGTTCAGCTTTATTATTGGGCTGTGGAGAGCAGAAAAACTTAGGTCAAATGTAAACTATGCCAGCTCATAGCTACTCAAGTTCTATAGGTGTCAGTTTCCTCATCTGCAAAATGGCGATAATAATAGCTACTTTACAGACCTACTATAAGGACAAACGTATTTAAGGTAGTGAATGTGATCTCTGGCACACCACGCAATGATATTTGAACTCTAAAACGGAGTTATAAACGGTATTCTAAGTAACGAGCTTGTCGAAATATAATTTGTAAGTGTTCAGAAACACTATGCAAACAGATGTAGAATAAACATGTGTCAAAAACTTAATTCATTCACGAAAGAATCAGAGAGATAGTAAGGATGGTGCCAAGGGCATTTAAGGAAATGGGTATTTAGAGGCCTTTTAGAAAACCTTTAAAATGAGATTGCTGTGTTAGAAATAAAACTGGCTATGTCCTCAGGGCAATAAAATCATAACCGGTGGGCAAGGGGGTCATCTCTTCTAACAGTCAAAAATCTGTAAGTTACCACACAACTTCGCAGTACCTAGGCTTGTGTCAATAGTAAATGACAAAGTTAAACAGTCATGTTCTCCTAAAGCAGGAGTCATCCACCTGTAGCCCGGGGGCCAATCTGGAAACAGAGATCATTGGAAATAGTCACATGCATTCATTTACATACTGTCTGTGGCTGCTTCCACGCCGTAGTGATAAGCGCTGCATAGTTGTGACAGAGACAGGCAAAACCAGGACGAGTTACTGGCTGGGCCGACACAGAAGACTTCTTGCCGACCCCTGTCTAAGATAATTACATAATCCCTGGCCATGTCTGTTCAACAGTTTGCCACTATGACATTGAAAGGACATGGCATCCTTTCCCCAGCCTTATTCTCAACTTTTGGAAATTTTTCTTACAGTCTTACTAGCGGCATCTTTCTTTTTAGCCTGCATAAAACCCAGAACAATTTACAACTAAAATACTCAAACTTCTTGAAGCAAGAAGACCCTAAGAATAATTGCAGCCAGGAAGGAGAAAGCAGGGTCTTATCTTTCCTGCTTTCTTTGTGCCAGACATATTGCCTGCATCGTTTCATTAAATTCTTCTAACAACCCCGTTGTGAAGGTACTACGATGGAAAGTAGACAAATTCATCACAGTTTAATTCACAAAACAATCAATTTGCAGAATAACAAACTCATCAAATGATTGAGGATGTTTTCCAAGGGTGAGTTTTCCTCTGGCTTCCCTGTAGCCACTGAGTCACACGCTGGTCCATCCTGCTGTGTTGAGCAGCACGCCGGCCGCCTGCCAGTGGTTTGTACACCACCCTGGGCCCCGCCTCTGCCCATAACCTTGCATGTGTGGCTCCTTCCAGCAGCAAAACTGTTCCTGTTGGCAGCCGTAGATCTGGTTTAAGCCATCTGTCTGACAGTTTTTACAGAGATGGCCAACTGATCTTTCCACAAAGTGATTTGTTCAAACCAACTTGTGAAGAATGGATACGAAACTTCTATCACCATCTCTGTTCTATGGCTACAGAACCTAAGGCATAAATAAAGCAATCTACCACATTATACATAGATGGGTCTGATTCTAGAAGCTAGGCTCTAACTTCCCTACGAAGCTCAAGTTTCCAATTTCAGGCTTCTATTTATTGCTGCCATTTTTAAATGCTTTTGGCCCACACATTTATAAAGAATTGGTTATCTAAGGACGATTCAAGACCATTTTGGGTTGTGATATATTTGACAAAGTAAGTATCTTCCAAAGGAATTTGATAAATCCTAAGCTAAGTTAGGAGTCAATAAACTCCCCAAGTTTCCTCTTACTCTTAATTCTGAAATGGGATTAACTGGCTGAAGGGATTAAAGGGAAAGGGGGTCAACTCCAGCCAGAGTGTAAGCAGGAGGAATTCAAGTGAAGGACATACTCATCACCCTTTACCACCATCAGTGGCCAAAAAGAGGATTCCTTTGGAAGTCCCTCGGAACATTCCAAATACTGGCTCCTACTTCTTTTAAGGATCCAGAGATGGAATCAAGGATCTTGAGCCCTGTAGTCAAACTAATTCCCTGCAGAAAAATGTCTTTCTTTTTTAAATGAGCCTTTACACCCTAATGCACAATACTTTATGCCTTCAAGGTTTCCCTGGACTGGAGCTTTATCCACAGCTGCAACAAGACCAGGATGTCTTCCAGAAGTCGCAGGAGAGGTTCAATTTGCCAGCCAACAGCCTGTGGGCAGCCTGCCTTGTCCTCAGTCAGGCTTGGGGAGGCTGAGAAAGGAAGTAACTTGATGGAGACCAAAGCTTAGGGGATCTCCTAGTGGCTGATGAGAACACCTCTAGAACCTCCACTTAACCACCGTCCTCTGGTTCCATCCCAGAAGTATCTTAGGAGACCACAAAGAAGGATGATGGGAAAGTGACACATGTTTGTTTGATGATGTTCCTTGAACAGAATCCATTAAGTAATTTCCCATGGGTTGTATATGGAGTAATGGCTGATGTGAGCTGTTACTCAATAAACAGGGGAAACAAAAGAGCCTTTCTGCACAGTTATAAATCATTTTCATTAGGCTGCTGTAACACAGTCCTGAACCACCATTAGCCTTTCTTATTATTGCTTAAAATTGACTTCTTTTCCCATCTCTCATTTAATACTTAATTTTTAAGGGAAATGGCAGACTGTTGATTACTTTGGGAAATAAACACAGTTGTGAAATCAACCCAGCCTAGTCGAAAACTCAGGCTCCTGTTTGTTTCTTTCAGGCTCTCCCTCTAATGGTCTTCAGAACTGATTTCTGCCACCTCTGCTCTCTCTAGGTATTTGTTTATACCTATCTCATAGAATGTATAACCCTCTCTATGACTGGCATGTTTATGTTCATTGGTTTCTCTCCCTGACCAGACCAGGGGTTGGTAAACTCTGGCCCATGAGCCAAACGTGCTCCCAGTGCCTGGTCTTATATGGTCCCAAAACTAAGAATAGTTTTTATATGATTAAATGGTTGAAAAAAAGAGAAGAATATTTAATGGTATTTGAAAAGTATATAGAATTTAAACTTGCATTTTTAGAAACAAATTTTTATTGGAATTCAGCCATGTTCACTTGTTTATATGTTATCTGTGGCTGCTTTTGCACTAAAACAGGAGTGTTAAGCAGTTGCAGTAGAGACGGCATGGCTCTCAAAGTCTACAATATTTACTATCTGATCCTTTACAGAAAAAGTACACCAAACCCTGGAAGAGATTATAAGCTTCTCGTGGACCTCGACTGAGCCTCAATATTCCTCTGATTTCCCACTCTCCCCAATAGCACCAAAACTTGCTAATAGAATGGACATGGTGATAACGAAACACAGAATTTGGACCCAGACCTGAATTTGACTTGAAATCTCTACTTAGTGGCTGCTTGACCGTAAGCAAGTGATTTAAACTCTCTGAGTTTCTGTTTCCTCATCTGCAAAACGGGAATCAGTATATCTACCTCAGAGGATTGTTGGCATTTTTAAATGACTTAATGTAGGTAGAATCTCATGTACAATGTCTGGCATATATTAAGCATTCAATATGCTATTCATATTACTTTTATGAAGGAAAAGGCATTTTAACCCACTTTCCTAAAAGAAAGAAAAAGTAGGGAAGAAACATATCTTGCCTCTCTCAGGAGCCCTTCCATACTCCTCCTTTGAGAAGGAGAGGCTCATCTAGGAGGAGTTTGAGAATGCAAAGTTCAGTTCAGCCACCCATTTCTCTAGTTCCCAGCTCCCTCCGAGATGTGTTTTCTACAAGACACACACTTTTTGCATCACTCCAGAAGCAACCTTCTGGGGGTGCTGGGGTGCTCGGGTCCTGGGGTGAGAATGAGGTGGCAGGTCCTAGGCCCGCCTGCCCTGCCAGTATCTGGTTGGCTAAGCTCACTTCAAGGCAGATGTGTGAAGAAGCCCATGTGCTCAGCAGACCAAGTCACACTTTCCAATTCAACTCCAGGTGCAAGAGAACTAATATGTTGACCACTGACTTTCTGATTCTGGTATCTCTCTCTTCGTTGGTTCTGACCTCCGGAGGGGACAAGAGGGGGTCTTATGCACTGCCCTCTAAAAACTCCAACGGGTATATCATAAATTCTTATATAATTGAACATACTTTCTGGACAATGATGCACTTGAAGACAAAGCTACTTAGGAGCAGTCTCCAGAACCAGGTTGCTGAGAAACTGGACAAGTTTTTTCTACCTCCTGGGGAGCTCACACGGTTACTTGAGGGAATTTATGCAAAGCTCTTAGAACATGATATGAGTCATTAACATTATCATATGTATTAAAATACTGTTTTCTGATTCTACATGTTCTATATGTTCATTGTAAAAATAATTGGAGAGTGTTGTGCTAAGCATCTTCTACATATTCCTCATTTATTCAGACTATGTTGCATAATAGCTACAGAGTGGCCTACCAGGCGGATAAGAGAATAAACAAGTAAAGAGAGTACTTAAAAGAGCATCTGGTCGATAGTCAATAAATGCTAATTATTCTATTGTTGTCATTGTTCCGGCTCTCATTCTCATTATTGGAGGCTCATAAGTGGCCCTGCCGTGAGCTGGTATTACTCTGCACACTTCACAGAGCCAGTAGAAGGCTAAGTAACCTGATCAAGGCCACCAAGAAGTGAGAGGCACAGTTGTGCCTCGAATCCAAGTCTGTCAGACTGCAAAACTACCTTGCTACAACCGGGCCCTTGAAAGTTCCAGAGACTCTGAACTTCCTGCTCTTCCCTAAACAAGGTAACCATTCCATGCCCTGTGCCTCAGCTTGTCTTGGTCCCTCTGGTGAAGAAGTCCCCACCCCCCCCATCCGACCAGCGAAGTTCAGCATTGAAAACGGCTCAGGCACCACCAGTCCCTGAAGCTTTCTTGGACATTTCTCCATTCTACGAGCCTCAGACACAAGAAGGCCAATGTCTCTTTTTTGACATGATCCTTGAGCTAAGTTTGGCTGCCTTGCCATGACTGTTACTTGCTCAGAATTATTTCTAAGGATGTCCATGTCCTCTATGAGATTGTGGACTTCCTGTGGCCTTTCTACTTCTAAATTCTCAGCGTCAAGCACAGTGCATTTAAGGTGATGACTAGATCATCCGGGTTTGGCTGGTACTTTTCTGGTTTTAGAATCTAAAGCTCTAGATGCAGGAAGCTCCTCAGTCCCCAGGCAAAGGGGACAGGTGGTCATTCTAATGTATATATTTATTCACCTACAGACACACAGACCTGAGTCCCAGCCCTGCCGGCTAGAGGGAGGGTACATATGGAAGACACTTTCCATCCACGCATCTGGGCAGTAAGCACTCAGGAATGTGCTCAGATTGGTAATAGTTACTTCCCCAGTGGACAGGCCAGCACTGACCAGAGTCTCCAGAACAGCTGGGAAAGGTCTGACAAGCATAAATCTCCCCAGAGAGAAAGGCCCAAGCCAGCCTCTGGCTGCTTTTGATGGGATCCTAATGGAATCCATGACCCAGTGAGGTGTGATGAGCAGCAGCTCGGCGGGGGGGGGGGGGGCAGCAGAGACGAGGCTCCGAGGGCCATCCTCCTAGGTGCGGTTATTTGCCAGTTTCCATTCATCACATCATTAACACCCTGAAAAGAGCCTTTCACCAGTGAAACTGTACTCACCATTCTGTTGTTTTTCTCCTGAGGACTTCTCAGCTTTGGAATTTTTCCCACGAGCGTTGTCGCTTTTGTTCGTACGCGTTCCATTGACTGGATTCTTAGCTTCCCCAGATGTCTTTTTCTCGGCTTTGCCAGCTGCGCCTTCTTCAGCCTGGCTTTTGGCTTCCATTTCCTTTTGCTTCTCCTCTGCAGCCAGGCGAGCTTTTTCCTCTGCTTCCTTCTTGGCCTTCTCCTCTGTTCCCATGGCAAGTCAGGAAAGGCACAGAAAAGATGAAAAGAAGCCATGCTATTAGGAGAACTGCCTCTTTAAACAAAAACAAATATTTGCACTGAGTGTTTGGGGTCTATTTCTGGTTAATTCAAGTGAGATTAGTGTCCATATTCAGGAAACCAATAAAATCGGTTCCTGGTGATGTCATTTCTGGAAATAGTGGGTGAGCAGAAGGGGCAGGGAGAAAGTAATAATAATAAGGATAATAATAATAAACCAATATAACAATTGGCATTTTCAATATTTATCATCAATAACTTCTCTTGAGTGTGTCCTCTTTGACAGGTATTATGCTAAGCGCTTTCTAAGGATTACTTTTTCATACTCAAAACAGACGTAGGCGGTAGCTACCATTATTAAAAACCTCTTTTAGAAATGTGAAGTCAAGGCTCAGGGACACTACAAAACCCTCCCATGGCCTCAGTAGAAATCGGGAGTTTCATGGAGATTCGCTTAGGCTCTGGAGTTTAAATACAAACAACTGATGACAAAACAGAAAGACAGGAAAAATAACCGCCACCGTTTCAGGTCACTGTTTGTGAAATTAAAAGTAGGAAGAGAATAATTAGGCCTTACAAAAAGCACAGTCTTCAAACTGTCCACAAGATTAAAGGTAGCCTTTAGTTTGGGCAGGTACCCTGGTCTGGATCTTCCCCTTTAATGAGAGGATGTCAGCCTTATTTCCAATTCTCCTTACTCTGAAAAGGTCTGACTCTCAAGGTCTGACATCAAAAACAGAGCATCATTGCATATAATCAAGTATTCATGAAAAGATTGGTTCATTCATTCAACATATTTATTGAGGAGTGACAGTATCAAGTACCATTTTAGGCACTGGGAATGTAGGAGCAAACAAGACTTATGGGAACTGAAAAGACCATAATTAAGTAAACCAGTCAGTAAGATGATTTCAGGTGGTGAAAAAGGTAAAGCAAAAAGGAAAGCAAAGTACTATGAAGGAACAGGATCAGCGTAAGGGAGGAGGTGGCATTAGATTAGGAGGTAAAGAGAGTGCTACCTGACAAATTCTTAATGATGAATTGCCAGCCATGAAATAATCAGGGAAACTAACATTCCAGGCCAAGGACATAGAAAACGTCAAGGCCATGAGGTCAGAATGAGCTTGGTATGTTCAAGGGATTCTGAGTTAGTCAGTATGGCTAACACGGATCTAGAAGCGGTTGTCGACAGATGAAGTGGTCAAACAACCAAGGACAGGCAGAGCTGAGGTATTACAGGGGGGTTGAGGCAATGAAGAGGTGCTGGGCTGTAGGAAGTGACACGCACCTAACAGAGACCAGTCCTCCCTTACGGGACAGACTCAGCCCGTTTAACATCCAACTGATTCAAAAGGCCTTCCAGATTGTGCCATCCATTCTAAAAAGCACTACTGCATTTTTTTTCTCCAGATGGGTTAAAAATATCCCACATCTCATTATCAAGGGTCCTCTTTATTTTCCTTGGTTAGTCTTGCTCCTAAAAAAACTAGCCTTCACAGACAACAAGTTTGTTTGTAATCTAATGGGCACCAGGGTGGTTATGTCTCCCCTTGTCCTAGCTGCTTAAGATCACAAAAGCCCAAATCTGATCCAGTTCATATGTTCGTGGGGCTTTATGGCATTGTATTTTATGGATGTCTTTGCTCTCCAGCTTCATTTTGCTTTTCCTCCCCCTACATCTGCCTGGCTCAAATGTCCTCCTTAATATCTTATGAAGTTTTCATTAATCTTTTCATTGATTCATCCTTCCAACCCATCCAATTCAATGCCCTGGCCTCACCCCAGACACATTAAATCATATTGTGGAGGGAGAGGGGCAAGGGTAGGATATTTTACATGCTCTCCAGATGATTCTAATATGCAATCAGTATGGACAAGCATGGATTTAAATTTTAAATGTTTGCCATTCAATATTTCCTGACATTCTGCTACCCAACAAGATGCATTTATACTTTATAATGAAAAGGTATGTAAAGATTTCTTTACAAAATTAAATAATTATGCACATATAGAGTATAATTTGTCTTCTGACTTCTACAGAAAGGTGCAACTAAAGGGTAAGAGAATGCCCTTGCAGATGCTGAGATGGTATTCTCATTGGACTACAGGGTCACAGAAGGCCCCATAGAATATTCACCCTGACTTCCTCTCATCCTCCCACAGTGCCCTGAGGACAGAGGTTAAATGTCATCTCCATCACTGAATTCCAGTGCTTGGTACAGCACCTGGCACATAGCAGATACACATGGAGTATCTGTTAACTAAATGAAACACAGGGTATGGTTCCCCCTATCTGCCAATGAACCTGACTTGTACCTATTCCATCATCTGTAATCCAGGCCTGTGTAAAATACAGAAAGTGTACAAACTCTAAAGTCCTATCCTGGGGGAGCTAGCCATTTGACAAATGTTGGTTTCCTTAACCACTAATATAGGTGAGTAAAAAGATGATGTATTCACCACACAGAGGAAAAGTGATAGGGAGGGGAATTTTCATTCAAATTCAAGTACCAGGTTAAATAACTCATAGTCCTCTCACAGAATCCCCACTGTAGCTGTGGCAAGCTTCCAACACTCAAAATATCCTCAAGTTAAAAGGAACTTGATAAAAACTGAAGTTGTTAAATTCTGGTTTGCTACAGAAGAGCATAAAATATTATCTGAGCAAAAAAAATTCATTTGACAACTGAGTCAGAACAATTTTTTATGGAAAATCCAGCAGAAAAAAACCTGGGAGAAGGTCCATTTTAGAAACAAATCTGGTTTTGCTCAACTACTGTGGACAGCAGGTGACTAATGCTTGCATTAATGATGGTAGCTCCTACGACATCATGATCAGATCCTAGGTGACCTGTTCCACTACATGACTCCTTTCCCTGTGGCAATTGTGTTCCAGCAGGTGGCTCTGCAATGTTCTTCTACTTCTCTACTTGCATCTCTCCTTGAGTCTTTGAAATATATGATATTAGGGTGACAAGCCATCAGCACCTAGTGATACTACTCTAAATAGACAAAAACAGGGGCACCTGGGTGGCTCAGTCGTTAAGCGTCTGCCTTCAGCTCAGGTCATGATCATAGGGTCCTGGGATTGAGCCCTGCATTGGGCTCCCTGCTTGGCGGGAAGCCTGCTTCTCCCTCTTCCTCTGCCCCTGCTTGTATTCCCTCTTCTGCTATGTCTCTCTCTGTCAAATAAATAAATAAAATCTTTAAAACGAACAAACAAAAACAAGCAAGCATGTAAATGAGAAAAAAAATTGACAGGAAGTATGTTTGTGCCACATATTTTCAGGGTGAAATTATTAATATACCTAAACCTTTCTTACAAAGAGAAAAAGTAGGTTAAGTGTACAATTAATTTGTATGTGCTACAAGGTTCTGAGGATAATATAGATAGAATTAAGTTTTCAGCTCTTAGTTTTAGGCATCTATCATCTTTAGGCATCTAAGTCATACTGGTAGGCTTCTAGACTAGTAGAGTTTAATTCCATTTCCTTTTGCTTCCTGTTTCAGACTATCTATGGTGATTTGTCTCACAATGAAAATGGCCCAAACAAGCAGCTAATGAGTTAAGGTAGAGCAAGGCAGAGCAGAGCCCTCATGATCCATAATTCTCATTCCTCTTGAGAGCTGGTTCTATTCCACACTGAATGCCTATACATTCTGGGAGAAGTACATTGATTTCTTTGTTCAACTTCCCTTTCTGAATAATGACTTATAGTCTCTTGGTTAAAAATGGTATTGAACTAGTTATCCCTTGATATAATTTTCTGAATTGCCTACTTAAACTACCTACAGAGAGAGAGAGAAAGAAAAGGAGAGAAACTGACTAACAGAAAAACAAACAACCAAAATACTATATGAATTTTGAATAGTTAACTCTTTGTTATATACAAAAACAACAACAAAATACTTCTATATATTTAAGGACTCAGAAGGTGTTCACACGGGGTCTTTCTAAAAATGGAAGCCAAAAAGTCCTCCAGCTGGGAGAAAAATTCAACCAGTATTAGATCCTCAAGAATGAGGAAAATACATAAATGATGTGCAATAAAACTAGTAAATCTTAGTGTTAAAAAAAATTGTTGTTAAGCTAGATATAAAACTTGAAGCAAATATTAAAAGTAATATTAAGGTTAAGTTAATTAAAAAATAACAATTTACTTATAATCACTCAGATTACAAATCTTGTGGTATCTCAACAAAAACTGATCGATTATGGAAGAAATAAATAAAAATTCAATAAATATCTCAGCATTTGCAAAGAGTGTCATTATATACGATTTCATATTTACATTGATAGACACATAAGTCAATAAAAATGTAAAGATAATCTCTGGGAAAATAAAATAGGATGTATTTAAAGATTTTGTATTTATTCATTAGAACACAAGCAGGGGGAGAGGAAGGGGGGAGGGAGAAGCAGACTCTCCACTGAGCTGGGAGCCTGATATGTGGCTTGATCCCAGGACCTAGAGATCATGATCTTGATCATGTCTTGATCATGATCAAGACAGACCTTAACCATCTAAGCCACCTAGGCACCCCCCAAATAGGATATATTTAAAAAGACCATGAACAAAGCTAGCTAATGGGTAAGGGGAAGGGCAAAATAGATAAAGGAGGTTAAAAAGGTACAAACTTCCAGTTACAAAATAAATAAATCATGGAGATAAAAACTACAGCATAGGAAATATACTCAATAATACTACAAGAATGTTGTAAGTTGACAGATGGTGACTATACTTATCAAAAAAGAACATAATTAAAAGGCATATGACAAAAAATTAAAAGGCATATGACAAACTAGATATGACAGAAACTGCCAAGATATTTTGTCAATTGAAGAATTGCCATCCTTTATATGTAAAGAGTTATTATGAATCAATAATAAAAATATACACATCCTAATGAGAAAAATGAAGGGGGAATACCTCCCACTTCTATTGGGAATAACTCCCACTTCTTTTGGAAGGCATTAGTTAAAAAAAAAAAAAAAAAAAAAAGAAGAAGAAACTTTCCAGAGAGAAATTTGATAATACATATCAAGAGCTTTATAGTTTTTCATTTACTTTGACAGAAGAATTCCACATCTAGAAATTTATCCTAGGTAAGTAATCAGAGGCAGGTTCAAAGACTTTTGAACTTGTATGTTTATAACTGTGTTATATATAATAATGAAGAATTGACAACCAAAATGTGCAGAAATAGAGGAGTGTTACATAAAATGCAGCCATTTAAATCATACTTTCTGAGAATATTCAATATCAAGATAAAATTCTTAAAATAGAAATAGTAAAACAAAATATAAAGTTTTAGTTATATAAATATATATGCATGATAAATAAAATTAAAAAGAATTATATCCGAATTTCACCAATATCTGGCTGAAGAGGTTAGGAGTGATTTTTATTTTTTTCTTTACACATATATTTGTATTTCAGCATTATAACCTAAACACATATTTTCACACCAGAAAAAAAATGTTTATAAAGTATTAAATACTGAAAAAAATTGATCAATATTGATCAGACTTACAAATTATTATGCCTACATATCTTGGGGAGTAATAATTTTCAGCCCTGAGAGCTGTTAAGAAATACTGATTTAATCATTTCTAACAACCATGGGTTGCGGTCTAGCAAGCTTTGTCTATCAGGTTGGTTAATAAAACTAAGACTTTAGATCCCATTCTAATCAATTTAATAACAAGATATGTTCAAGTGCCCCATGCAGGTCAGACTTTCTTAAAATTGCGGTTTTCTGATAGAAAAGAACGAGAGCAAAACAGCCTGGGATAATCAAGTACAAACTAACCACCAGTGGAAAGAAAGATGTAAATGGATCTCTCAGCACCAGTGAACTAGTCAACAGCATTCCTGGGAGGCTGAAAACGGTAAGATAGAGTATTAGATATAGGTTGGTATTTTTAGCACCATCTTCTTAACTCTGCATTCCAACCTCAACTTTCTTTTCCAGCTTTTTTAAAATAACCGCTATGAGTTATCAGGCACTAACCACATGCAGGCTCCATTCTCAGTGCTTTGCAAATCTATTTCTGTTCTTTGCATCAACTCTGTGATATCTATTATCACCCTCAGAAGGTAATTTTCTTAAAGAATCTACATGAATCTGCCAAAGAGCCCAGTGCAAGTAGGGATTCAATTCTCCATTTCCCCACTAACTGAAATTTGCTTTGATATTCAAACTATCTTCCCACGAAACATATATAACCCAGGCTTTGTGCCTCCATCCATCTCTTTTCTCCTTGTTTCCCATTTTAAAATCTAATACCTCCTGCAGGACTCAACCTCAGGCATCCTTGAAGTCCTGGCTACAAGATGCCTTCTCAAACACCCTAGATTTAGGGACAAGTCCCTTTATGCTTCCAAAATAGCTTAACCATATCACAATCAGCATACCTAACATTTTGTAATTATTAGCGTTTATTTACAACATTCTCAAAGGGCCAGTTTTCCCCTGGAAAAGAAGCCGGCTATGGCTCCCCTTGGTGATCAGTTTCTGAAGGTAACTTAAGTAAGCCAGAGAACTGCAAACAAATTATTTTGAAGTACCTCTTTAGACTGTGTGTTGTTGGGAATTGGATTTTCGTATGTAATGAGTGTAATTGATTATAAGAGAGCGCTTCTTTTGAGATGATGTAGTAGCCGCAATTGCTGCTTGCAAGCTCTGCCAACAGGGAGAATTTAAATGTTTCAAGCATTGGAATAGACTGGGAGAAGCTACATTTAAAATATGGAAGAGGTGTTGGCTCCGTAGCTCTGTCCTGAAATGATAAGGGCCCAATTAAGCCTTAAAAGTGCCAATAAATACAAACCCTTTGCCCCACCTGAAATGAGCAACCACTCGGGCAGGATTCTGTGGACAAGCCACAGGAGCTGGCTTTTAAACAACTGCAGCAGTGGGATGGGTCTCTTCTGTCCCACACTAGAAGCAGCCCCTGATGTATGAGGGGCCTCCAGATCCAGAACTTGTCCTGCCCGGCCTCTCCCACACTTCCTTCGACTTGCTGTGCAGGCCCTGGTTGATAAATGTGTCAGGGTTGTGTTTGAGGATAAAACTCTCCTTTCTTGTAATGAGGGCCTGGGGCCCAGGGCCAATGGGTGCTGGCGACAAGCGCAAATCCTTGACTGAACTTCCATCCTCCCCTTGGAGGAAACTCTGTGGGAATGCCCCCTGCCCTCAGGAGACGGTAAGCTCTGAGGACCAGGATGTCTGTGCTTCATCTCCATACTCTCAGCACGTAGGAGGCATTCGGTAGATGTTAACAAACACTGACTATTGTTGAAGTCTCACCTCCACAAATCCCACTGCGGTCAGTCCCCTCCCTGAGCTCCAAAAGCCATCTATGTTTGCGTCTCTCCCTAGAATCCAGTGCCATGGCATTGTACCCCTATCCCACGTACATGTTCCTCCCTAGGCTACAGGCTGAGCATGTCGTACGTATGGATCGTGTAGTATGTGTTCGAGAAACATGAGTATGTGTATGAGCAAACGGATTTCAGCTGTCAAGAAGCACAAGGATTTCAGTCTTTTTTATCTATAGTAACAAGAGTCCTGACTTTTCTCATCTGAATTTTGATGTTGGCCTCAGTGAATTTTGCCTACAAGCTACCTTCATCTCAGATCAGTCTGAGGGGAGGAGCAAGATGGCGGAAGAGTAAGAGACCTAAATTTTGTCTGGTCTCAGAAGGTCCCTGAGTCATGACTGAAGATAAGTTGAGAACATGAAAGGGGGCTAAAAATGCTCGAAAGGATATTACAGTTCCTTCTATCCCAGTGTAAAGTTAGAGGTGGCTATTGGCCAGGCTTTACTCAGATAAAGGAAGAAAGTAGGCCTCATCCTTATGTCACATGACATGAAATGAGAATGACAAGGTGGTCTCGCAGAAACCAAGAAATAACGCCCATCCATGGTAGGATCTCCACACCGACAAGAAGAATTTAGTCAGATAGCACAAAGGTCATGCTGAAGTGGGAGCTTGCCTTATTCTACTGTGCACTGAGTGCTACACACACTGGACCCTACCAGTCAAGCCATTTGAATCCAGATCCTGAGATTGTGTTTCCTTTGTAATTCCTATAAATCAGGGGTAGCAATGCCTTGTTTTCTAAGTGGGTCTGGACAGATCCCCTGGAAGATTCCCCAGTAGCATGTTACCTTTGGGCACCTTGGCCCTCCATCTCTCTCGGTTGATGTGCACCACCTCAGTCCAAGTTGTCTTAAAACTCTTATAGTCAACGGGGATGACAGAACTGTTGATGGGGGCGCTTCCTTCCGAGCCAGTGCTCTTCACACCCGACCGCTTTGCATCCGCTGAACTGATGCTGTTCAAACTGGAGGACACAAAGTCACACCAAAGGGGACGGTGAGTGTTTAAAAAAAAATGTATGCCAAGGAGTGAGCCCAAGAAGGAGTAGCTAACACTCCTCGAGTTGTGTTGCCAAATTCCTGGGTCCTGAAATTTGCGATTCCTATTTTCCATATGTGACAAATAGGAAATTCTGTATTTTCAGCAGGAAAAAAAAAAAATCAAGGTTTCAGCCTCATGAGGGTTGCTTTTCCCCATATTTCTTCTCTGCTGATTGGTATCCTCTTATTCAATATGACTAGAGTTCTCTCACATGAATTCTCTGTCTTCAGTTCTCTGAAATTAACCCGTTTGAAACGGGGTTTCTACCTGGTTCCCCACTATACCTACCTGCTTTGACACTGACCACTTTTCCAAGTTACCCAGTCACTTGTACCTCTTTTGCTCCAGCTCCAGGCCCCCACCCCATACTGGAGTGCCTCTGACCCCAGGTTCTTTTTCCTTTCTCCACTTCCTTCTTCTCCTAAACCTAGAAATTAAAGTCAGTTTCATTTCTTGTGAGAATTCTGATCAGGGGTACTTTCTTTTTGCTATATGGGGAGCAAGGACCGCCTAGGCCCAGAAGGTCAAAGTGCCGTGATGGGTGCTGCCATGAGCAAAAGCACCAAAAGAGAGAGAAGGGTAGAGGACCAGCACTGGAAACCCACCAGTCATGGTGTGAATCTTGGTCACTCCCTTCCAGGCCAGCCTGGAGAGCACAGACAGTCCAGCTTCCATTCCTCTGAGAAAAAGAAAGAGGCAGACATCCCCCTTACAAGAGAGGGAGGGCAAACATCATCATAAAATACCCCCATCTCTCCCAAAGGAACAACTCTGTCCTCACAGACAGGCTGATCTGACCCCCATCCTTCAAGTTTCTCCACTCACCTTGAACGCCTTTGTCCTGTCCCGCCAGTTTGGGAGGTTTCATCAATTAAAGGGCTCACAATCTTCTCAGTCATGTCCGTGAGCACAGTGAAGGTGGGCTCCACAATGAAATCAATAAAACCTGAAGAGAGACAGCAACACCTCAGAGAAACTACATGTTAATTGGGCCTTTCCATATTTTCCTATGGAAACTGATGAATCTTAACTTTCTTTTAAAATTTATCCACAGAGGAACTCCAGATCAGATTAGGAGAGAGGAAGTTGGTCTTTATTCATTTAACATGTGCCTTGAGTTGAATATCGTGAGTCAGTTCCATTTCTCTTACATAACTTTTCTATGACTTTCTAATAGCTAGCTCAATCGAGTGATTAAGAAACACATATTCAACCCGCCCCCTCCATCCAACAAATGCTGTAGTCGGTGCTGCCTGTGAGACAAAGATGTAGATCACAACCTGCCTACCCTTAAGGCGTTATAAGAGAGATTAACTAAGCACAAAAATGACCCCTAGAGTACATGGAAAAGGACAAAGAGAAGCCCAAAGATGGCCCCTGGGAAGGTAAGGGAGGGAGAATATTTTCCTTCCCACTGAGAGGCCTATGAACAGCTTTATGGAGGTTGTGATGTTTGAGCTGAGCCCTAAGTCTCTTCACTTGAGGTGGAAGAGGTAGGATAAGCCAAGTGATGAGGATGGCGAAAATGTAGGATGTGTCTCAGGAATGACTGGGGCTTAAGGATATTTTTGGAGTTGGAGAGGGGAAAGTTTGGGAAGGCAGGTAGTCACCAGCTCAGGGAGGGAGGTTCCTAAGGATCTGCCTAAGGAGTTGGGTGTGACCTAGAATGTGTACTAGAAGCCCCTTGAGATGTTTAGAGAGAATCACAGTTAGATTTTTTTCATTATTCTTTGGGAAAGTTAATCAGGCAAGATGGACATGAGGGAAGAGAGCAGAAGAGGCTGAAGCTGGGAAAATCATTTTAGAAGCTGTTGCAACAGCTTGAAGGAAAGGTAAGGAAGGCGGGATTTAGTGCTAGTGAAAGACGGGGGTGTCACGGAGGCACAGGTGCAAGCACAGTGGGGGGGGTGCTGCTTCTAAGTGGGAATTGTCAGAGACCTCCCACAGCAAAGCAGAGAACAGAGGGATGATGGGGAAACTGTGGCCAGGGTAAAGGACGATGGACTCAGTCTTAGATCTGCTGAATGATGTGCCAGGGACATATCCAGATGAGAGAGGGCAAGCAGAACCAGAAGAATGAGGGTTGGAAACTGGGAGAGGGGTCAGATCTGGATCTGGAACTGGAACTTGGAGATATTGCCATGTTGGGGAGAGAATTGATGTTAGGTTAGAGACACTGTCTCAATGACCCAAAAATGCCTGGGTATTCTGTGACATAGTAGTAGAAAATATATGATCTGAAACTACTGGTGGTGGTTCATTACACAGCCACATGGAAGTTGGAAGGAAATGAAATACCAATCAAAGGAAATATGGTGTTTTGTACAAATGCTATTTGGTTTTCATGACTGAGGAGGGGGTGATCCTGGCACTTAATGCCCAGCAATGAAGGATGCTAAAAACCTTACAATGTAATTGGCAAAACAAGCATTGTCCCAAATACCCATAGTATCCTGATAAGGAAACACTGATGGCCAACTTTGTATGACAGTTAATTGCAGTCTAATTTTATAAATTTGGCTTAAGCTGAAACTGAAGTGTTTCATGACACTGTTTTCACCTTTTTGTTTTCATTCAAGTTAAAGTCAACAGGTCCAAACCAAAACTAAATTACTAGCTTCCCCTCCATCCCTTATAATGGGACCATGGTCCAACCACTTAGTCTGGATTGCTGCCTTCACCTTAGTTTTGCATCCAGCTGAATCCTTAATATATTACATGCTACCCCTCTCCTGGAAAATCTCTGTCCTCCCTCCATCCTATCACCCATCATTGTTTCCTTATAATCCTGCAGAAGGCACCAGGCTGATTTCCTTGCCTCTAGTCTAACTCAGAACCCTCCCAGCTACTGATAGAAAATTTTTCTAAGACTGCGGTTAACAAACTTTCTGCAAAGGACCAGGCAGTGAATATTTTAGGTTCTGTGGGCCAAATCTATGACAACTCCTTAACTCTCTCACTGTAGTGTAAAAGTAGCCGCAGACAATTTGCAAATGAATGAGCTTAGCTGTGTTATAATAAAACCATTTATAGGATCAAGTGGTAGGCCAGATTTAGTCCCCAGGCTACAGTTTGCAGACTCTTATTCTAAAGCATCGATTTATATATTTTTAAATCTTGTTTAAAATTCTTTAGATATGCCCTGATTTTCTCTCCAGACATGTCGCTCTCTTCATCCTATACTTTGCCCACTACTCCAGCCGTATGGAGCTGTTTGTAATGCCCTGACCATACAAGACTATTTTAAATTTCCCTGCTCAGTATATGCTAATCCCTTACCTGGAATGCCCTTCCACTCACCCTTTACACACCTCTAACCAACAACACCATCTAACTAGATAACTACCTACTTATTTCTTAAGCCCCAACTCAAATATTACCCTTCAACAAGTCTTTCTGCCTCTAACGGTCCACACACTCTGTTGCGTACCCAAGTGTGCCATGTACAAAACTCTACCTTAGTACTGTAACACTCACACAGCTTCTGTTTTCCTAACGTCCTACCTACGGCCCAACACTGGTTCAATGTCTTTGGGAGCAGACACCATACATAATTTGTATTTGTTTTTTTATAACATCTGTTTTATTGCCCATTAGCACCTGGCACCTCACAGAAACTCAATATATTATTATGAAAAAAAGGAATGAGTACTCAAAATATAAGCAGGAAAAAAAGCAGTAAATCTTTGAATTTCTTTTTTAAGTGATTTCAGACTCTTCCAAGTGAAGAGCACTGCTGATAGCTAATTTATGTGTGATACTGGTACCCTCTCTCATATGTGAGAATTTTTGTAATGCACACATATTATGGTTATCAGCACTATAAAATTATCTTCACCAAAAAAAGGTGCTAAAACATTTCTAAAAAGAAGGAAACATTTAAAATGAACCCTTCCTAGAAGTAGGGTCATCCAGGAAATGGGACTGTCCTGGAAATAAGGAGAGGAAGCATCATTGAGGAGCAATGCCAGGGAGACTTCCGGTATTGCATGCAGAATGGAGAGGCTGAAATAGAATGGGCTTCTTGCCACTGATTCTTGTCATTGCACTAGAAAGTTGAGGCCCCTTTTGCTCTTAGTGGGGAATAACAGAGATAGCAGAGCATCACTGTCTAATCTTCCCACAAACCAGCCACATTCCAGGGAGTAGGATGGGGGGAGCAGCTCCATCAACCCAACCAGCCAGAGCCATGAGCACAATACAGCAGAATGGAGCCAGGTTCCCAGCCAAAGAACCACTGGGAGCATCTGAGCTTACTTCTAGGCACCCCACTGTTTTTTCTTTCCATCCAAAGGGCTGTCAACACATACCCACTTGCGACTGAGCAACCATCGTTGACTTTCGATCACACAGAGGAGAAAAGGGCAGCCCCAGCTCTGCTTCTCTGTCACCCTAGAAAAACAGGAGGTCATAGTAAATTCAGATCAGTAGGTGAAGCTGCCCAGATTTTATTTAGCAACTTCAACTGCCACAAAGGCCACTGGTCTTTATTATAATTATTACAATTACATTATGTAAGAAATCCTTTTGGGGCCTACTCCTTTGTATAAAAGACACCAAGAAGCTGAAGCCCTCTGGGGTCCAATCATTCCATCCAACTGCATAGGCACATGGTGTTGTATAGGAAGCCTCATCAGGCAGCAAAAGGTCCCCCGAGGAAAATAAGAAAAGCCATTGCGTCCTGTGGCCCAGAGCCAACACGGCAGTCAGAATTCCTATGTGTTCTTGAGTTGTTGTGTCAGTCTGCAGCCTTTCTTGAGCCAGTGAAGCTCCCCCACTTGTGGGCAGTGGCCAAGACACAAATTCAAACTGGACTCATTTGGACTTATACCCCCAGTGCTGCTACCTAATGCTACACACAACTAGGGTAAGTGCTTCCAGGGTCTTGAGCACAGGGCTTGGTCCATATGGAATGTGGACCAAAAAAGAGACAGAGTAAATGACTGCTTCTGTTTCTCAAGCTGGACAATAATAATTCTCTAGTCAATATATTCTCAAGCTCACCGAGAAACACCACTATAACAAGTAAGTATTATGAAAGTCTAAATAATGAGGGAGATGGTTTTTGAAAACCTGGACGAAAAGCTCCATGCTTTAGTCACACAGCTAGAGGAAAGGGAGAATATGGCACCCTTCTCGCAGTAGTGAAGTTGTGCTGATTCATTTTACTAAGATAGAATCTGCTCAGGTTAATGGCTACTGCCCTCAGCTTGAATCTGGCCTTTCTCCCTCTACCTGTGTGATAACAGCAAGTTTATTTTCCCTCTCTACATTTCAGTTTTATGTTCTATAAAGTATGGATAATAACCCCTATCACATCAGGTTATGATGAGGATTAGGTGAGAAATACATATAAATAAATAAAAGAACTATTATTGTTTCTCTAATATTAGGTATCTTAGGTATCTCTAATATTGATGTCAAGAGTTGAGAAACATTTAGCCAATTTGTTATACCAAATACACTCTGATTATAATACATATTACCAATAAATCAATAGTACATAAAAAGTAATAACAACAAAAACTAGACCAGGTTCAAAAACTAAATACTTTTTCTTTCTAAGGCATGCTATCAAAGAGAAAAGACACGGGTGCACACACACACACACACACACACACACACACACACAGAGAGAACATCTACTGAAAGGAAGGAAAAGGAATGGGCGTCTGAGGAAGCTGAGTGATGTGGTCACAATAGGTGGTGGGGACATCCAAGGGCCTCAGGAACAGTCCTGAAGTGGCTCAGTTCCTTCTGCACACTTTCCTGTTCCCATGGGACACAATGGCTCCTCCATTTCTGAGTACACCCTGCTGAAGACTGTTTTATCTCTCAAGTGGCAGGATAAAAATAATTTACTCCTGAGCTATTTCTACTTGGGCAGGATGAAGAGAAGGAAGAGTATTTGTAACATAAACTGTTGTTGAAATGGCTATCAGACACATGAAAAAATGTTCATCATCACTAGCCATCAGGGAGATTCAAATTAAAACCACATTGAGATACCACCTTACACCAGTTAGAATGGCCAAAATTAGCAAGACAGGAAACAACATGTGTTGGAGGGGATGTGGAGAAAGGGGAACCCTCTTACACTGTTGGTGGGAATGCAAGTTGGTGCAGCCACTTTGGAGAACAGTGTGGAGATTCCTCAAGAAATTAAAAATAGAGCTTCCCTATGACCCTGCAATTGCACTACTGGGTATTTACCCCAAAGATACAGATGTGGTGAAAATAAGGGCCATCTGTACCCCAATGTTCATAGCAGCAATGGCCACAGTCGCCAAACTGTGGAAAGAACCAAGATGCCCTTCAACGGACGAATGGATAAGGAAGATGTGGTCCATATACACTATGGAGTATTATGCCTCCATCAGAAAGGATGAATACCCAACTTTTGTAGCAACATGGACGGGACTGGAAGAGATTATGCTGAGTGAAATAAGTCAAGCAGAGAGAGTCAATTATCATATGGTTTCACTTATTTGTGGAGCATAACAAATAACATGGAGGACATGTGGAGATGGAGAGGAGAAGGAAGTTGAGGGAAACTGTAAGGGGAGGTGAACCATGAGAGACTGAAAAACAACCCTGAAAAACAACCTGAGGGTCTTGAAGGGGCGGGGGGTGGGAGGTTGGGGGAACAAGGTGATGGGTATTAGGGAGGGCACGTATTGTATGGAGCACTGGGTGTGGTGCAAAAACAATGAATACTGTTACGCTGAAAAGAAATTAAAAAAAAATAAAAATTAAAAACAAAATAAACTGTTGTTGATGGTTTAGCAGGACAGCTCAGCTAAAGCAAATAAAACCCACTCTTATTCCCTATGAAGCAGGGATACAAGTTGGTTTTTGGGTACATTTTTACAGGGGTGATCAAGAAGAAGAGGTGGTGAACACTAACCACTTGGCTATTAAAGTATATGCATTAATTTGGCTTGTATTAGTGAAAAAGTACAAGCTATTAAATAACTTCTTATCCCATGGACTTGTCCTTACCACATCTCCACATCACTTACATCTTTTGGGTTTAATTGAGCTATTAAATGCCTATTTTAAAATAGTAGTCATTGAATTTCCTTTGGAGAATGGATACATTTTTGAATTGGAAAAATGTGCAGAAAGTAATATGGAAGGATGTACTTCTACAGGTGAATTCAACTTGACTGAAACAATATTTTATGACTCTATAACTACTGGCCTGTGTGGAATTATTCATACCCTTTCCTTTTACTGAAGATGTCAATATTTTTTAAAAGGGCAAAAGTCTCAGCACAACGGATTTTTTTTTTTTTACTAACTTATATTTTTCTTCAAGGACAATACAGAAAAATAAGTAACTATTATTCCTACCATAGGAGTTAAGACTAATAAAGTCACATAGTCAATCTGTAAAAGGAGCACAATGCATTTTGTTGAATGAAAGAGATGAATTTGATTAGAAACACTCAAGTTCTTCGGCTACATAGACATTTATGACAGGCAAGCTGGGGCAACAGTCAGGCAGTTGGCCATTCATAAGGCCTCCCTCCTTTTCCTTCTTTATTTCCTGTCCACACAGCTATACTATATTTCCCAGGATCTCTGCCAGTTAGTGCTATATAATAAAATGAGAGGAGATGGGGGTCATACTTCCACCAAACTTCTGGCATATAAAATCTCCTCTGCCTACTTCTCCACGTTCTTCCCTTTTCTGCTGGCTTGACGTAGACAAGCAACATGGAAGCCATGTAGAGTCTGGGTCTAAAATCACTGCTGATTGTAAACTATCTGCCAGTCAAGAAACACTTGTCCTGTGCTTTACATGAATGGGTAATAAACTTCCATTTGATGTGTGTCATTATTCACTTTGGGGTTTCTTACAGAAGCTGTATGTAAGAAACAAGCCAATCAAGAAAAACAAAGATTATTTCCATATTGTAAGTTCACAGGGGAGGTGACATTTCAAGTGAGTCTTCTCAGGTAGTGTGAAGAAAAAGTATCTCTTTGGAGAGGGTAACAAAAGCATCACAGAAAAAAAAAAAAATCACAGCAATGTATACTCTTCCTTCCCAGGGGAAGAAATTACAAGTAGGAGGTATAAGAAAAATTGTTGTAATTTTGGGTTTAAGATAATATAGTGAAGACATCTGTGTCTTTTCTTCTCAGAAATTATCCTCTCAAAACAGGATAGCAAGAAACAGAAACACAAATGTTAGGAAAAATCTGTAATTTCAAATCTAACTAGATGAGGAATGGCTGCCAAATGTTGTGAATATTGGAGAGGAGTGAAATAAGACCCCCAGAGAAGAGGCCTAGGGCTCCAGATCTCAGGTAAAACTTGAAGAGTTAGTTCTCCTGGTTCTTTCTGGTGTGAGGAGCAACCCTGGGCCCTACTTAGTCCCTAGGAATAGTAGAAAAGGAGACACTGGATGAGGAAACACATAGGCATGGCAAGAGGATGATGGATGGCAGAGTCTGAATTGTGAGCAGCCCTGCAATTGTTGCCTACTGCTGTCTGGGAAGAAGTAAAGAAGTAAAGATTCACACACACACACACACACACACACACACACACACATCACAGAAGCCTCATAACAAACCATGAAGAGCAGTTTAGAATATTGCTGCTCTGGTTTCTCCCTGGCATATACCTCCTGCAAATAGTTTAAAAATAATGCATTTCATTCAACAATAGTAAATAAGAATAATTTTAAAAATGAAGAAGGAGGAGGAGAAAAAGGAGAAGGATGAGGAGGAAGAAGAAGCAGCACTACCATCACTACCAACAAAAAAACCCTGTGAAAATATATTTCAAATAAAGAAATAAAAGGGAATAAAGGAAGAAACAAACAAACAAACAAGAAAAACAATAGGAAACAACAGAAAAAACAGTGCCACCAAGTGATGACCAAACATGTTGTCATGAACAGAAAGAAATGCCTGAAATTATCAAGAACAAGGGCTCAGGGAAACAGGAGCTAGCAGAGCTCAGGAAAGATATGGAAGAGGAAAAACAGAACCACTGCATAAAAGAAGACTGCACTGGCAGCATTACAAAGAAGAACTGTTCTTGATGAAAACACATTAAGGGGTATGGAGGTCAGGAATGTAAAAAGCAGGCCAAACAAAGACCACTGATCAAAGAGTTAAAGAAGGCTTAAAGGAAAAACATACACATGGATGAGAAACAAAAGAGAGTCAACATATGAATAACTGTTTTCCCTAAAGAAGAGAACTTAACAAATGGAAAAGGAAAGCATTCAAAGATGAAATCAACGTAACTTGAATCTACAGAAGTAAAGAACATGCCCAGTTCCCAAGAATAGCTATTATAGAGCAATCATTATTGAAATATATTTTAGTAATGTCAGTGGGCTTCAAAGATAAAGAAATAATCCTTTAGGGCACATAAGCAAAAACTTGTATCACCTAGATATGAAAATAATTACAGCAGGGCCTCCAACCTCTCCATAGCAATATCCACAAGTAGAAGACATTTGACTGAAATCTAAAAAAGGCCGCAGGGGAAAAAAGTTTGATTCAAAAAAAAAAAAAAAAGTTTTACCCAAGCAAACTATGGCCCAAGTACAAGAGCAGTACAAAAATGGGCAAGTATGCAAATGTGTGGTTTCATTAGCTCTTCTAGAAGAAACCACCCAAGGAACAACCTTGGCCAACCGAAGGATGATCAACCAGGGCCAAAGTACCAACACTAAGGAGAACTGAATAACTAGAAAATTATGTTCTTGACAGATGTGTTTTCTACCTTTCTGAGTCACCTTGTTTAAGGTGTATCTTTTGTAAGCAGCATGTCATACACGCCATAGAACACTCATTTAAAAAATCAGAACAACTTGGAAATAATAAAGCCAACAAATAGTAACAAGGAGTTAATTATGTTATGGAAAGGAAAATGAGGAATGGTGTTGGGAGGTAATGAATAAACACCAGCTGTCTTATCTGTTGGACATAAGAATATATCATCTAAACCTGACATATAAAAAATAGAGCTATACTTAAATAATAAAGGACAGACTACAAGAATTAAACAAGTTAATAAGACCTACAAAAATCAGGTGCTGGGGAAGAGGAGAGAGGAAGTAGAAGTTTACTATTTTTTATAACAAGGAGTCATTAGATACTATCTAAATAAATAGAGGACATAAAATTTTTATTATCAATTTAGCCACTGGAAGAGCTAAAAACATAATATAAAACTTCCAAGTCATCAGAAGAAATTAATATAGGACAAGGCAAATGGCACATCTATAATGAACTATTTATGAAGAAGCTATAAAAACAGAAAGCATAATATAAAATATGATGGTGCCTAAGATCAAATGTTCCTGTCATTTCAATAGGTATGAAAATAGCTGATTTCAAATAATAAAAGAATCTTAGATGGACTCATAAAAAGCCTCAACTATATACAGTGTTTAAAATGCACACCCAAACCAAAGTATCTCTGAAAGGCTAAAACCTATGCAGAGACAAGGCTCATATTCTTAAAACAAGTCAAATTTGAATTCTAGGTAAAAGCATTAGAGGAGGCAAAGAAGCAGGCTTTATAATGATAAAGGGTACAATAAATTATGACGATCTAATAGTTATGAATATCCAAGAACCAAATAACATAGAATCAACATTCACACTGTGCAGAAAGAAAAAAGAAAAGAGACATCTGTCATCCTACAAAAGATCAAATTTTTTAAATGATATATAAAATACCTAAATGACATAATTCATAAGGTAGATGTATGGGGTATTGTTTGAATTCTATACCCTATAAGTAGAAAATAAATCTACTTTTCAAGAGCAGTGAACATTCACAAAACTGATTATACAGTAGCTGACAAATGATTCACAATAAAATCCAAGCAATGAAAAAATTATTGATCGAATTTCAATAAGCCACAAATTAATTACAAAACTAGAAAGCAGAAGAGCCTACCATTGGAAAATCATATAAATAAACACCACTATCTGAACCAACTCTTGGGTAAAAGAAAAATCTACACCAAAATTACAGAATGTTTAGAAAGGAATGATTGTGAAAATACTGCATATCAGAATCTATGCGATTCATAAGAAAAAGACAAACTCCCACCCTTATATTTTCTAATACTAAACAGGCAGAATGAGATAAGTGAATAGAGCATCCAACTCAGGGAGCTGGCAAAAGAACAAAATAAGCTCAAGCAGAAGAAATGAATTAGTAAAAATGAAAACTTCAATTAAGGTATTATAAAATAGAAACAAAATAATCAAATGATTAGCTAATTTCATAGAGAAGCAAGGGGAGAAACACTAATACATGAAATGAGAATTGGAAATGGGAAAATAACTACAGACAAAGAGGATATTAAAAGAACTGTAGGGGACGTTTGCAAAGTACAAACATGAACAGCAATATAAGAGAAATGAACCTCAAGACTTTTATAGCATGTATTTACCAAAAAGGCAAACTTATACTTCTTTAAAGTCAATATTTCATTGAGAAGCACCCCAAGGCCACAGCTTGGATTTTGTAAAATATGGTTATAATACTGAAGATGTAACTTACTCTTTTAGCAAAGTATGGGAGGTCTGGTCTATCAGCACTGAGGCTATGCCCTTATTTTGAATTACAACCCAACTTTCAAATATAATACTTTCAAAGACTCTACAGTCCTGTTGAGATTTCCCATTTGAACTGTCTGATTTAAAATCTATAGTTAAGAGCTGAGGCAACATTTCTCCTATATGGGTTACTTACAATGGCTTATGGCATCTGGGTTAAAATACTAAGTCAATAAATATAATTTACTGAATCATAATTACTAAAAAATAGTTCCAGTCCAATGAGCTAACATTCTATTCCCAATAGGCAAGAAATTCAATAAGGTTATTTTCACATTGCCTCTAGCACCTTTTCATTCAATTCCAGCATATGTGTATGCAAACAAAGTTTCCTTTATGGGAAAAAAAATGTGCACATATTTAAGAAATTTCTCATATCCACTCACAATTAAAAGAAGGAATCACTTCAATATCTCAAACTTTTATGAGTTGGCTATCACCTCCCTTTGGCTGTAGATTAAATACTCCCAGACATAGGGGTTGTTATTACACAAGCAATATTAAAGAAAGCATATGATAATGGTCTTATTTACAGAAAATCCTCTCATTAATATTAGAAAAATAGCTTCCAGAAAAATGGCAGAGTCATTCTTGTATTATACAAGGCCCTCCTGTCCTTGTGCACCACTGGGTTCTTCTTGAGAACAAGTCTGAGACCAAGCAATGACCTTGCACGGGGAAATAGCCATATGCAGGATAGGGTACCTGATGGTATATTCACATAACAGCTTAGGGGAGCATGTATGTGCAGGTGTTGAGATGCACAGGAGGGAGTATAGAACATTTAATGCCAGAAGGATCCGAAGGAAACATCTGGCCCAATCTTCCCCTAACTCCTTGCTGCCACCACCTCCTAAAACACAAGTCACAGATAAGACCATTGGGAACTAGCAGAGGGATTCCATTAGCCCCATGAAGCAGTTGGAACTAAAACTCCAGTAAGGGTCTTCTGGACTTTGTTGAATACGCTGTTGATTCTGGTCCCACCTCATCACTAGATACTGTGTACAGTTTCAGAAGAAAAAACACACACGTACAGATGCCTTTTATAATTTCTCCATTCAAACCAGAATCATGGAATAAGAGTAATCACAGGAGAAATTTGCTTCCAGAAATCGAGTAACCACTGAAAGAGCCCATCTCTTGTCAGGTTAGGGGACAAGGTTGAGACCAGTGTCATGAGCAGTGTTTTGTTTGGTCTCAGAGGTCTCCTAGTCCACGACGTGCACCACTCTTCAAGAAGTGTCAGAAGTAACTAAATTAACTGTACTGATGTGAATTTCTATCATGGAGACCCCCCAGTCTGCAAGTCATCTTGCCTTCAATCTCAGGACCTCATGTCTTGAAGCACATGTTTTAAAGGCAGCTCTTCTTGAGAAGATACCAGTTTTGATACTACATATTAACTTCCTGATTTCTCTACTTCTGTGTACCTTTTTAAAAAAATTTTTTAAAAGCATTGCCTACTCACGAAAAACTCTGGCTACCCTTTTAGAAAACACAACCCTGAGTTTTAGGAGGTAGTATGTTTAAACATAATTCACAGTAGCTTCTAGTGGTTTCCTGACCACAAATTGCCACACCTCGGAACGCCTGGGTGGCTCAGTGGGTTAAGCCTCTGCCTTCAGCTCAGGTCATCATCTCGGGGTCCTGGGATCGAGTCCCACATCGGGCTCTCTGCTCAGTGGGGAGCCTGCTTCCCCTCTCTCACTGCCTACTTGTGATCTCTCTCTCTCTCTGTCAAATAAATAAATAAAAATCTTAAAAAAAAAATTGCCACACCTCACTTTTTTGACAACATGGAATTTGACAACATGGCTTATCTGCTCCAAAGAAACAACATAATCTATTATAATAGATCATTATAAGTTAAAGATTAACCTCTTAATCCCACACAATGATGCAAAAACAACCATCATTTTGTCAGCCCATTAGCACAATGAGTAAAAGGGAAGTACCCAGGCGACATTTTGACAAGAAACTGACAAAGAGAAATTTTTTTTCCCAAACAGAAATGCATAGGACAGAAACACCATAATGTTCTGAGAACCAAAATTTAGGTAAGAGTCAAACATCACATGAGCAAGAGGCCAGGAAATTTAAAAAAAAAAAAAAAAAAAAAGCTATCAACCCTTCCTCCCCAAAGAAAATGATTGTAATGCCAGTTGTCTTATTATAGTATTGCTGAAATAGAATACTCAGAAACTATCTCGATAGGGCTGATGGCCTTGGGGAGTAGTACAACAAGATACCTGTCTGAAGAATTCCTCCAGGAGTGACATTGTCCAGCGATGATGGAGCTCCCATGCTTTTGCGGGATGGCTAATGTCTGCCGTGTGCAACATCAGAGATAATGCTTTCGGCTTTTCAATTCTAAAAATGCAAACGACCCAGACACGTGATAACCAAATTTTCAGAACCTCAATAAGAGTTTTTAGAAATCATTAATTTCTTAATCTCTTCCATTCTCCCATCTCAAACCCCACATCGGCTGAACTGGGGGGAAAGCATCATTTCATCCTACAGCTGGGACATTCATCAGCTTGGTCTCCATGCTTACTGAGCTGGACACCTCATAAACCGACTCAAAACAATTTCTGGAATGACTGCATCGTTCAAAAAAACATCAGGGATCTACGAGTCACTCACAGACTTTTGTTGCCCCTGTACCAAGTGAATCTTTGATGGCTTAGTTTCCCACAAAGAATTCTTTTAAATTCTTAACTGGGGGCAAATTGTTACTGGCCCTATGATTTATTTCAACCCTGATGAAAATCTACATGTGACAAGTACAACTGTCAGGTTCTCTCCTCCACCAGCCCACTTCATGAGACCATTCAGGGAAGCTCTCTGAAGAAGGTACGACAACATGGACAAGTACCAGTTCAAACACCTATGAAAACTCATGATGTCACAGGTCCACTCACGCTTCTGGCTGTTGCAAAGCAGTCTTCATTGCTTTGATCTGTTGGAAATGACAGGACATGTCCGTGGCCATCACCATCTCAATTACCAAGGTCCGAAACTCCCTTTCAGAGACACCCCATGGAGAGAGAAACATGCAAGTAAAAAAATGGAAAGTAAAAATTCGTTTTTTGCCACTTCTAAGCAAAAGCAGTTAATTAGTGGTGACAATTCTAATCAACTTGAGCCTTTTAGGTGGACTTTTTTTTTTAATGAGGAATAAGTGAAGGTTAAGAATTAAGGAAATCATTTACTAGGAATATGACATGTGGAACATACATATCACACAGTATAGCTTATTTCTCCGGATCTTTACATAATGGCTGACACAAAGATAGTCAATGAATAGTTGATTACTTAATTAAAATATAGGTACTGTTTGCACTGCAGTAGATTCAGAACTTTGAATGGCTTTGAATGGTTTTGCCTCTAATCTTTGAAATACCTTGACCTGTATTTGTAGCTACAAAAAACTTGCAGGCCTGATATATACATCACAATGTGTGCTAAGCATTTTCAATGGATTATATAGTTTATTATAACATTAACCAAACCATGAGGTATATTTTGTTATCTGTTTTCTAGAAATTAAATTTTACAACAGTGTGAAGGGGTTAAATAACTTCCTAAATGTCATACAACTAGTGATTGTGTCCGTATTCAAGCTCAGGTGTGCCTAAATTCATTCAAAGACACACAATGTCATTTAGGCAACAGAATTAGGTACCCATGATTTGTTCTGAGTATCAAAATAATTTCCTTAGCAAGTCTGGAAAGATTTTTAAGAGAAGTTCAAATCTAATAGAAGGCGAAAAACAAAGGTTAAAAGAAAAAAACCCAGATTTAAGAAGCTAAGACAAAAGCAATACAAGTTTCCTAACGTAACAAGAAGCAAGTATTTCCAAAGTGCCTATGATATATTTAAATAATTGTGTTAAGAAAAAAAGAAAGAGAGAGAGCGAAGGCAGGGAGGAGAGAGAAAGGGGAGATAGAGAAAAGGGAGAGGAGGGGTGAAGAGGAGGGAATGAGGGAGATGGGATAAGGAGAAAGGAGGAGAGAGAAAGGGTGACATAAACAGTTCAAGTGGTACTATTTCTCCAAAAGCAACATACTTCATCCCTCCTCATGGTTCCTTTCCTGGCCTCCAAATCTCTCTCCTGTCTCATCCTTACCTCCAGTCATCCTTTGAGAGGTTGATCAAAATATTCATTTCCTCATCTTCTTGCAGAAGGCGATAAGCCGCACTTAAATGGTGATTTTCTAATACAGACCTATCGTTGTACAGAATAGCAGGATCAGACCTGAACAGAAAGCCAAGCAAAAATAATTCAGGATGTTAAATGGTTGAGATTTTTCAGGTAACTCTTTCAAGCTAGAACACACCATCTTTTTTCCTATGTTTAACAATTATCTTTGCCCCCATGTCACTTATGCCAACCAATAAGCTAAAACCAGCAGTACAAATTATCAATAGATATATGCAAGGTATTTTAATGTCAATATGTTAACATGAAATATGTGATATCCCACTGAGAACTCTCTGAAAGCTGTTCCATAACCAGACTTCAATGATTTCTACCACTAGCATAGGGGATTTCATAAAACGTTGGTCAACTCAAACTTCCTTCTATTTTCTGGAATGCCTTTAGTTTTTAAAAATTTTATTCAATGAAAGAATTAATTTATTATCGTTATAATTCTCTGAACATGTGCCACCTGGTAGGTACAGTTTGCCAAGTTCCTCTGGTAGTAGTACCTTGACCTTAACATTTTGCCATATGGAAGACATATGTGTAAGATTGAGAGTAAAGAATATAGGATTATAGGACAGTTGCTAGTCACTTCCTCACAGACCACTGCACCAAACACAGAGCTGTACACTCTTTCAATATCTTCAATTCAGTTAAAACTTAGATGATTATAGCTTATTTGTTTCTCATCAAGGAAGCTGAGTCTCAGTGATGTAAAATGACTTCAGAGAGCCCCACAGTGCCTACATGGCAGGGTTGAGATGAAGGCAAGGCCTTTTGACCATTCAGCCATTGCTCCCCCCAATAACTTGTGCCTGTCATTGGCCAACCTTTGGGATATATCTAGCATAGCTTTAAAGTATTAGGCTTAACATACCATCAAAGGACAAAGAACCTGCTTACAGATTTAGTTCTCTGTATGGGGCTCACACAGGCTGAGACGCTTTGAATAAAGTTCTGTTAAAGAAGGCCAATGCTTAAATTTTATTCCAAAGCAAGCATAACTGAATCCACTGGAATTTCCTCACTCCTATGGAGATAACACAAAATGTGCAATCCCTGTGGTGAGAGATCTGATCATGTATCTGTGAAGACAGGCTCCAACTGATGTGCATTTTGTGACATTAAGCTCTTTTCCAGCTGCTGTAATTAAGCCATTTCCTCTGAGTGGAGATGGGTTTTGGTATTGGGCTCCAGCAAAGACCCAGGCACAGTTGCTCCACACACCTCTCTTCCTTCAGCAGGTGCTGTTCACCACAGCCTCTGTCCTCAGAGCAAAGATTCCACTTGTAGACATCCACGAAACAGAGCTGCTCCATGGCATTCCCTGTATTTAAAGCCCTTGCCACAGAACCACAAAAGGCTGCTTCCCAGCAGCTGGGCTCTTCTGTGTGAGGAAGCTGGAGGCAGACAATGAAACTAGCGGCTTACATCCTTTTGTCTGCTGCCATTCTATTGAAATTCCCCTTCTGAACAGAGATCAGACAATACTGTCTTCTTTTGTGTTCCCCACAGTAAAGTGTTGGGTTCATTAAATACATGTAGATTGATTTAATGAACACAAACCTATCTGGCATGGGCACCTGCTTTTTTCAAGTGAAACCTCAAGTATTTATTCAAATTCTCATCTCTCCCTGCTCCATTCTTCCTCTTAGCCATGCCACCTTCCCCCAAATTCTAGCTTCTTTTGATTACTATGTCAAGGCCCAATTAACCCTACTATCAGAGTCTCTCCAGCTTCCTAGAACCATCTTAAGCGAAGGCAAGTTCTTAGGCTAGGACAGGACAGATAAGGATTCATCCTAAATGGAAAAGACAAGTGAATGGTACTGCTTGTCTGGAATTCTGTGCTGAGAGGAATACTAAGGATAAATACAAAGCTTGGTCAAGAAAAAAAGTTGATTAGCGATATCTGTTATAGACAAGAGGTTCAGAGTTGGGCACTTGAACCCATACTTAATTCCCCCCACAGAGATGTGGGTTTATCTCTGCAGTTCATCATAGTGGATACACAGATCGATGGTGAAGGCGGTCTGCATGAGACAACCCAGCTCCCCAAGCCCTCTGCCAGGGAGCAATGTAAGTACTAAAGACAGCAGGGATGAAATCAGGAAGGATGAGAAGAGTGTCCCCAGAATTCCAGAGGTCACAGGGCAAGAAGGCTCAGGTATTGTACGTGTGGACAGAAACATCCCGATCCCAGCCCATCCTTACTAATTCGGTCTACCTGGCCTCTGCACCTTTGTGCCAACTGTTCTGTCATGTAGTAGAGACATGTAGAGTGTGCACAATACATAAGGAAACAAAGAGCTAGCATTCCAGTAGAGAAGAAGAGGATATCCGTATTTCATGGGGATAACGCAGGAGCACTGGGAGCAGATGCCTTCTCAAACTCTAAATCTTGACCGAAGCTGACCAGGTTGATCTCTTGTGGAAAAGTTATCTTTTTCAGAAAAGCAAAACAGAGTAACCATGCCAAACAAGGGTGACTGATACCTTTCTGACTTCTCAAACTCTATCCCTGCCCCCTCCTGCCTCCTCTCCAAACATCCAACATCCTCACCGTGTCTGAATGTGGAAATTGTTGGTGGTTCCGGTGTGCTCATAGTCGTGGATGGCAGCTGAGAAGATGATAGCAAAGATCTCCAGCTCTGTCAGCCAGTTCTGAAAGGGATATTGCAATCAGATAATCTGTCTCTTTCTCCAACACAGTCTTCAGCTTGCTGACAACACACCCGCGTCACTGCCTTTCCACCCTGCAGCTGACAAGCTACCGCCAAACACACGTTTTCTGACAGACGGAATTTCTTTTTTTCCCCTATGTGGAGACTGAGGAATATGGTATCTCGAAGTAGCATGCCCAGCAAGGTTGAAAAAGCTAACTAGTAGTTGTTTGTTTTGCTTTGTTTTTTTCCCAAGGAAGCAAAAAACAAGGAACATGAAGACTTTAAAAACCCTCATGTATTCTTTCCTAAATTCCAAGATACCTGGTAGACATGGAAAAAAAATATATTAACATTTTCAACATAATACCAAGAATTAAGAGTAACAGAAAACCTAATGTATATCTACTACAAAGTGGTTGTACGTAGACAGAAGAAAAGATAAACCTGGCCTTCTGCTTTATGTACCCTGATGTTTGAAGAGACACCCCCCCCCAACCATGCCACCAAAACTGACTACAGTCCAAGGTTCTCAAATTGTGTTCCCTGGACCACCAGAGGCAGCATTGTCTGGCAGCTTATATTACACATGTTCTTGGTTTTATACACACACACACACACACACACACACAATTTTTCCATTTTGGCCATTTCTTTCAATACTTCCCCAGTACTCTGTCCCCACCCATCAGCCTCAACTCCCTTTACCTACCCCCTCACCACCAGCATAGCTCTTTCTCCAAACTTATGCAAAGTTAACTTAACAAAGTTAACTTAACTTAACCTTAAAATAAGATTATGAGGTTATCTTGGAACCCGTTGAGCCCTGCTTGGAATAGAACTTCTAAAATGACAAATATGTCTGGAACACTATAGCCTGAGGCCGTTTCTGTTGGCTCTAAGTAAGGTCTCTGGAAGTGCTTATACCCAAGATGAAACCGAATTCTGTCTAGGCAAGAGAGTGCTCATGTGTACAAAGGAAAAGGTGACCCCTGGTGGCGAACCCAACAAAACCCAAGTCATCCGAGGAAAGGTAACTCATGCTCATGGAAACAGTGACATAACTCATGCCAAATTCCAAAGCAAACTTCCTGCTAAGGCCTTTGGACATAGAACCCGTGCTATGCTATACCCTTCAAGGATTTAAACTCATGGATAAATAAATAAATAAATAAAAGGGCAGATTTTTTTTCTATTGTGAAATCAATAAATCAATCAATAAAAAGATTATGACTGAGAGCCAATATACCATCTAAACAAATCTGAATCACAGAGCATCAACCCAGACAGCAGGTGTCTAAATAACTACATAATTACAGTTCTCACATTATAAATATCAGTGTGACTTCTCCAATTTACCCAAATATACTAATAAGATCCTATCTTAGGTGTAGCCCACTTCCAATAAACCAAAATCAACAAATGCTTTAAATAAGCAACAACAAAAAATAAAACCATAGCCTGTAAAAGTCATTTTAACACCCTTGCTTTTCAACAAACCCTGTGGATGCTTAGAAATTGGTTCTGCTGTTTGAGGATAAGAAGAAAGGACAGATGGTACCTGGCAAGGAAGGAAGGAAGGAAAGTGGGGAGGGGAAGGGAGGGAGGAAAGAGAGAAAAAGAGAAAGTAAAAAAGAAAAAGAAAAGAAAAGATAAAGAAGATCTTCACAGATGGGCCCTGAAGAATGGACCAAACAAGAAAGGGCAGTGGACATTTCCATAAGAATGAACACATGAGCTAGTCCCAGTGTCAAAAGGGGATTCATCATGGGTAAGGAAATGAGTCCCTTTAGTGGAGTGGCAGTTAGAGCTAATTAGAGCCCTGTGGTGTTAGGCATTAAAAGCCAGAGTGAGGAACACAAATTGGATCCAACAGGCAATGAGCAAGAGGGCAACACGATCAGCGTGCCACTGAGGGAGAGAAACCAGAGCAGTACTTTTGCATGGGAAAGTCCGTAGAGGATGTATAGACAGTATGAAGCTAGAATTCATATGGCTTAGCAATTAACTGAATATGGGAGGGAGGAAGAAGTTGCAGTCAAGGAGAAGAATGAATTAAAGATGACCCTAACATTCCTAGCCTGAGTGACCAAAATACAAAACAACACAAAACAAAAAAATGATGGGTGGCATTAAATAGCATCATTAAAAGAGACAGAGATGGAGAAGTTCTTTTGAGGGAAACTAGGCTTCACTTATTTGAGAGAGAGAGAGAGAGAGCGCATGCGCAGGGACTGGGGGAGGACAGGGACAAAGGGAGAGGGAGAAGCAGGTTCCCCACTGGGCAGGAAGCTCAGGACCCAGAGATCATGACCTCAGCTGAAGGCAGACACTTAACTGACTGAACCACCCAGTCGCCCTGCAAGGCTTCATATTTTAATATGGTCCAGATTTTCTTATCTTTTCCCAGTTAATTACTGTGAATCCAGAAGATTTTGTGACAATCCATAAGAAGCAATTAAATATAGCATGAATTTTATTCCAGACTTATCAAAGCGTGACAAGGTACAAGCCACAGGTTCAATCAGTATTTCCTATCCACATAAAATGAGTGTCACAACGAATTCAATGACAGGGACAACTGGTAGTGATGGACTTCAGGAAGTAAGCCCTGTGCGCATGGGCATGGGGGCAAGGGGTGGTAGTGGACAGTGAAGGAAAGCAACATGGGCAAAACTGCTTGAGGGGACATTTTTCACAAGTTGCAGGTTTTGTATGTGAATGACAGATTCTTTAGTAATGTTTCCACCCCTGTATTAGTTTCCTATTGTTACCTTAAATTGCCACAAACTTAAGGCTCAAAGAACATCTCCCATTTATTGGCACAAAAGTTCTGGAGGTCAGGAGGCAGCAGAGTGTGGCTGGATTTTTTCCAGTGAGGACCTCACATGGCTGAAATCAAGTTGTTGGCAGGCCTGTGTTCTTTTCTGGAAGCGCTGTGGAAAAATCTGTTTCCAGGTACATTCAGGGCATTGGCAAATTTCATTTCCTTCTCAGACTTTCCATCCACTTGGCTCCCTCCATCTTCAAGCTGGCAACAGCTGGCTGAGTCCTTGCAGCTCCTGTGTCCTGCCTCTGGACTTTCAAGGACCCACAAGATTACACTGGGCCCACCTGGGGAATCATCTCCCTAGATTTTACCGGTCCTTGGATTAGTAACCTTCACTGTATTTGTGTTTTGCCATCTAATGCAACATTAGTGTTACAACAGAGGGCAAAGGTCATGGGGGCCAAAATTCTACTGACCACAAACATTGATAAAATTATTAAGCACTCCTTAGCCATTTAGTGTTTCCCGTGTAAATATGATGATGACAGATATGATCAAAAGAACAAGATACACAGCCTCTCCCCTCTAAAAAAAAAAAAATAATAATAAACAAGCAAAAGGAAAATTAATGGCACTTGCCTAACAAAAGCAATGAAAGGGGCCAAGGGATGGCTTTGGAGTTTGGAATCCTTTGACCTAAATCAAAATTTGACTAGAGCTCAAAGTCTGATTCATATTTATTCAATCAACAACTTTTCAGTCTAATTCTGTTCAAGGATTTTTCCCTTAAAAGTGGGCGAAATAATTCTGAAAGGATTCAAACATCTTCTTGGCGTCTAAGTAAAGCAATAATGAGTAATATAAATGGATTACAATGAGTAATACTGTTGATGTTGCAGCCCAGACATCACTTTATCAATGGGATGTTTTGATTCCCTATGTGTCTTACAGTTTATAAAACTGAAATGATTTAAAGCATTTCCCCCTCCTGGTTTGTAATGAAAGGTTAGAGTCACAATATATTCTCCATTCATCAGGATGCTCCCCACTGTTTCTGGAAGCTTGCAAGGAAAGCAGTTTGTTTTGAGCTGCATTTCTAAGAGAGAGTGAGTGGGAAGTAGTTTCTATATTTAAGAATGATTCTGAATATGGCCTGAATTGATAATGAAAATTCAATGGCAAATGCGCTCGTTTAAGAACAGCATGCTGAACGTCACAATCGTTGGCTGCTGTAACATTCACGTTAATGATAACTTGCATTAGCATAAATACTTGGGAGTTTTTCCTGAGGGCTAGAAAAGCTGTGTATGATTCACTTTTTATCTCCATAGTACGCTGTACACAGCAGGTACTAACTAAATATATGTTAAATAGATGAGCCCAAAGTGCATTTGTCCGTCTATGCTCATCTTCACCAGGATACCTGCAAGTATCACATGAGGATACTGACTGAGGTGTAAGAATATCAGGCACGCCTTTTTTTTTTTTTTTTTTTTTTGACCACAGGCGTTGTAGAAGTATGGCTAAATATTTAAATGCATGGTGTTATAAATAAAATCTTTAAAAAAGAGAGAGAGAGAGAGAAGTCAGTCCTGGGATCAAATCCTAACTCCGCTTCTCCGTTTGGCTGCCATAACAAAATGCCACCCACTAGGCAGCTTAAACCACAGAAGTTTATTTTCTCATAGTCTGGAGGCTAGAAGTCCACAATCAAAGTATTGGCAGGGTCAGTTTGGGTGAGAGCCCTCTTCCAGGTTGCAGATGGTCATCTTTGTGCTGTGTCATCACATGGTCTTTCCTCTGTGCCTGAGCATGTCTGTAATCTTAATCTCCTCCTTGTATAAGGACAGCAGTCACACTGGATCAGGACCACCCATGTGACCTAAAGTACCTCTTTAAAGACCCTCCCTCCAAATGCAGTCACATTCTGAGGCATTGGAGATTAGGACTTCCAACAATATAAACTGGGGGCAGGGGAGGGGAAAGACAAAATTCTGCCTATGACAGAGACTTTATAACAGGGCAATCTTAACTCTGTGAATGGGTTTCCTCCTATTTTTTTACTGAATTTCTGTCATTTTCTTGTTGATTCCTTTATATAATCTGGATCTTAATCCTATATCTTCCTCAAGTACTTACATCATTATGGTGATTCTTTTTATCCTATAGGTTTTAATTTTAATACATTCAGTTTGATCAATATTTTTATATAACTTGTGTTTTGAGACTTATATAACAAAGATTTTCCTGTTTCAAGGAAATAAACATACTCATATATATTCTTCTAATATGATCAAATGTTTTTGTATTCAAATCTTTAATTCATTTTCCCAAAATTTGGTGATTGTTTTAAAGTAGAACAAAAACATTCTTTTCTTTCCCAATGAACCATAGTTCCCAAAACATTTTTTGAACTGAGTCATTTTTCCCTGTAATGTTGTTGTCTAGAGACTTGTCCTTACATTCTCACTTGAATTCTTTCTTCATTATACTCTAGTCAGTGGTCTACCCTCACCAAAGCCCTGAGACCACTCCTGTCAAGGGCACTAATGACTTCCATGTGGCCAAAGACAGTGATCACTTATCTATCCTCATCCTACTTGACATTTTGTCATGTCCCACACAATTCACTATTCTCTTTTGAAGCACTTACTCGCCTTGGCTTCCATGACACCACACTCTGTTGGCTTTTATTCTAACATCACTGACCACTCTGTTTTAGTTACTATTGTTGGCTCTAATTTCTTACCTCCATTTTAAACTTTAGGTTGCCCCAGGACTCACTTCAGAGCCCCTACTACTTCTCTATTCACACTCACTTTTTAGACGATCTCAATTAATTCCATCTTTCTATAATATTGATAGGGCTAACATTGCCTAATATACATGTCCATCCCTGACCTCTTCCCAGAGCTCTAGATTCCATTGGTTCTCTTCCTGCTTGACACTTCCACAATGATGTCTAATAAGGACCTGAAACTCAACATGTCTAAATCAAAACTGTGCTCAATAAATATTTGTGTCTAGTTCATTCATATATTTAGTGATTTTTGTACAAATACCACCCTATCTTTATTACTATAGCTTCAATAGATATTTTAACACTAGTAGAATAAGAACTACATCATCACAGCATACATTGTCTTTTTCAAGACCGTTTTTTTCTAAAGTTGTGAAATATCTATTTTACATAAATTTCAGACTCAGCTTATTATGTTTCATTAGTCTTTATTGGTATTGCTTTGAATTTACAGAATAGTTTGAAGAAAATTGACATCTATATAATACTGAAGCTTTGCATTAAAAACATAATGTATTTCCTTTCTTATTTTAACATTGTTTTACTGCTCTTTAGCTTTATAGTTTCCTTTTTATCAATTTTTAAGTTCTTCATTAGTAATTTATCAGTTTTTTAAAAAAAACCTCTCTGGAAGGTATGTTCCTTTATTATACTTGTTAATTTCCAATGTCTAAGACAGCTTTTTATTTTTTTAAGATTTTATTAATTTATTTGTGAGAGAGAGAGAATTAGTGGAGGGGTGGGGCAGAGGGAGAAGCAGACTCCCCGCTGAGCAAGGAGCCTGAAGGGAGGGTTGATCCCAGGACCCTGAGGTCATGACCTGAGCTGAAGGCAGACACTCAACTAACTGAGCCCCCCAGGTCCCCTAGGACAGTTATTTTATCGACATCTGATTGAGGCCTTTTATTTGATCTAATAATTTGTAGTTGATTTTCTTGATTTTTTAAGAGATGGTCAAACTATTTTCACAGGATACTTCAACTTTTTTAGATACTAGATTGCATTTTCTGAGACCTCCAGAAAAATGCTCAATAACAACATTAGTGTAGCCATCCCTGTTTTGATCCAATGTTTTCCAGGAACCACCATTAACTAAGTCTGCTCTATGCTTCTGACAGAAATTTTTTATCACATTAAACAGGTCCCCTTGATAGTGTTTCTATAATTTTTAAAAAGTATAGCTTTTTTAAAAAATTATAACTTTTTAAAATAATATTTCAGGATGCCTGGGTGGCTCAGTTGTTAAGTGTCTGCCTTCGGCTCAGGTCATGATCCCAAGATCCTGGGATGGAGCCCTACATCGGGTTCCCTGCTCCACAGGAAGCCTGCTTCTTCCTCTCCCACTCCCTTGGCTTGTGTTCCCTCTCTGTGTCTCTCTCTGTCAAATAAACAAATAAAATATTTCTTAAAATTTTAAAATAATATTTTCAAGACGCCAGCTTTATAATAAGGAAGAACTGAAAATTGTTGAGAGGTTTTGGGAAAATTCAGCAAAGTTTCACTTAAAACAATTTCTAACTGTTGAGCTTCCTTCACGAGACAGACAGAGCACCTCCTATTTCTGATAGTTTATTCCTAACCGTCACAGTTTTTCTACAAGATAGAATATTTTTCACCATTTTAAAAATGAGGAAATCCTGCCTCAGAGATTTAAGCAATTTATCATAGGTCACTAAATCTAAGAAGTAACTACTCAAGGATTTATATCCCACTATATCTACCTCCAAAGCCCACACTCCTCCCACTGTGTTCCATTTTTAATTCAGTGAGATATTAGACCAAGCCTTTCAACATGCCCTAGAGAAAAAAATAACAAATGTGTTGAGTTTATGGGCTAATTAATAACCATAACCAAACAATGTCTACCTTGATGTCGACTCTGAAGATTTCAAAGGAAAAACTCATAGAGACCTAAAACAGAGAACAAGCTGTTTGTCACTAATAGCTGTATCTTGTAAAATTAACAGCTTTCATGAAGGTAAAGAGAGCAAAGGGACAGATAACCACGTTAAACAGGCAGTTCATACAATGGATTACAGAACAGAGATTCAAAGACATCTAAAGAGCTGAAATGTTGGGTCAAAACAAGTAAGAAAAATTGCAGATGATTAGAAGTAAAGATTGCCCCTAAGGTCAAACATATTGAACACACAAAAAATAGGATAAGAAAAAACTGTAATCCTTATGAAGAAGATCAAATGGTTTTAACTAAAAGCTAACTTTGTGCAATGTGGTCACCAGGCACACTTGATACGATTTCAGTATGCATGGATAGCGCTGTGACTGACCATAGCAAGAGGTTAATAGTACCACTCTCCATATCTGGAAATACATATTTAGTTCTAGAAATTTCTAGAACTATATTTCAAGAACTATATTTAATTATATTTAATTTGGTCATAGCCTAATAAAGACGCAAGTCACTACCACATATTTATATAATTAAGTCCAGGATGAAGAAAATATCAGAGGCTACAAGGAACTCCAAGACCTTCAGTGATTGGTTAGACAACTCTTGGGGAGCAGGAAGTCCACGCCTCAGTGCACTTCTTGTGGGCCCAACCACATCAGAATAGGAATAGCCTCCAATAAGAAGAATCATCATGGGGTGTCTGGGTAGCTCAGTGGGTTAAGCCTCTGCCTTCAGCTCAGGTCATGATCTCAGGGTCCTGGGATTGAGCCCTGCTTCAGGCTCTCCGCTCAGTGGGGAGCCTGCTTCCCCACCGCCCACCGCCTGCCTCTCTATCTACTTGTGATCTCTGTCAAATAAATAAATAAAATCTTTAAAAACAAAAACAAAAAAAATAGAATCATCATCACATCTTTTGTGTCATCTTTGAGTTCCTATCAGTACTTACCGCCACTCCTGTCTTATAAAGGAGGTAATGCACAGTCTGTGTAACATCGGCGGCATGCATTAAATTGTGGTATGGATTTTTATGCTTATTGTATCCTACTTCCAGAGCCTCCACAAATGAGACAAGGGCAGAAATGGGGATCTGAAAGAGAGCAGTAAGGTTAAGTAGTCAGTGGTTTTGTAGCTTTAAGTGAGGAAGCAGAAGTCGAAGTCACTCAAGCGGCATCTTTCTGGAAGCATAACATTACGCATGAAGAGACTGGAACTTTTCAAAATTAGCAAAAACTACTGAAGAAATTAGCGATGATTTGAAAATCTCATAGGAAGTCCCTAGGTTAAGAACAGTCTGACCTGTGAATGGTTTTTCTTTGTTGTTCTCAGTCCAGAACCCCAGAATCACCTCAAAGATATTTAGAGCAGAAGAGTATGTGTTCATCTCTTTTTCTAGCAAAGGTTTGAGTCTTTTATTTCTTGAGAAATAAACGGATACATACTGGGTAGCACAGCTCATGTATTTTTGGGAAAACATAAAGTACATAAAAATCTAAAGTTGTAATGGCTGCAAAACAAACACGAGCTGCCACCTCCTGAAAACTGGCCCTCTAGAAGAAGTGATTGTATGCACTGGACACTCGTTAAAAAACAAAACAAAACATGTGATAGCCTATTCTGTACAAGAACAGAAACAGACTGTGTTCTTATGTCTATTGCTTGGCAATTTATAATTATTGCACTGCAATTTTTGGAATAGTATTTCCAATTAGCCCAATTCCTTTTCTGTCTCAAATACATATACTATAGGTACTTTCATTTTCTATGTGGCAGAAAATAAGGAACAACTACAAAATGCCTGTACAAAAGAAGGGAACCCTGAAAACATTCATCGTATTTCCTCTTTGGGTTAATTCCTTGGCTTAGGGTTAGTTACCAAATACAACCCTGGGGGAAAAAGAGAGGGCATGGGTTCCAGGAGACCAATAAGCACGTTAGGAAGAAAAAAATATATATCAGGAAAATGCTTTACTGTAATGCTTCAGCAGAGTCTATAACATGTTCTTCCTTGAGCAGCTCCTTCCATATTTACCATTTGTGGATTCTTAAAAATTTAAATATTGCCTCTCCTATGTCAGAGATTAATTCATTATCAGTTTTAAAAATGAATATCCAATAAGCCCAGGTTCCCGGGGCTGTTCATGAGAGATCCGTGAGCCAAGAAAATGACAGGTAAAGGTGTGCATATGTGCACACGCTTTGTTCTGTGGGAAGGGTCCTGCGCACCCACCAGATTCTCAGGCCCATTTCTGACACAAAGAAATTAAGAACCATAAATAGAGCATTTATGGCTATGTAGGAAACATGCTCCCAAGTACACGGTCCTTAGGAAAATGATAAAGAACCATGCTGTCTAGAGAAATCAATACGTTTTGTTAAAAAAAAAAACCCTGCATTTTCCAAAGGCTCACCCCCATGATGAGAGAAGTCTGAAGAGCACGATAGGAGAGATGTCACCAGACAAATGCACAGATGCCCTGGAGAACCTGGCCTGACTCCTAGAGTCGGTGGTATTACAAAGCAGAGGGGATTGAACGCTGGAAACGATTCATGTTCTTTACTTAAAGTTGAAGAATTAATTTGAAGTATGAATGGCTGGGAAATACCAGTGACCTGTCATGGATGATAAGTGAGAGCATTTGTCTACGCTTGAGCCAAGGGGTGGGAAAAAAAGTTTGCAGAGACAGCAGATGCTCAGTCTGTCTCCGTTACTGTCTCCATGCCAGTGGTGATGGACAGTACACGACATCAGGCTGAAATGAGATCTGCGAGGAGTCCCGCTAGCCCACACTTCGGGCTGTACTTCTAGGAAGACTGGGACCAAACTGTGCAGATCCATCCTCTCGCCTGCTGCGAGCCCCACCCGGCGGGGGCTTAAGGACACATTCCCACCACCACAGACTTCAGGGCAACGGCAGTCTGGATGATGCTTCCCATGTCCCACAGCAGTCTTCAGTCTATATTAAAAGGACTCCCCTGGTCTTAGCCCAAAAGTCATGGAAGGATGGACAAATGTGGGGCATCTGGACACTCGCCTTTGGCTCAGGTCATGATCCTTGAGTCCTTGGATCACGCCCCGTATTGGGCTCCCTACTCAGTGGGGAGTCCAGTTCTGCCTCCCCTTCCCCAACAAACTCCTGCTTTCTCACTCACTCTCTCTAAAGTACACAAATAAAATCTTTAAAAAAAAAAAAAAAAGAGAGAGAGAGGGAGAGAGAGATGGACAAACGCATGCATTTTTTAAAAGTAGGCACTGACCTTGAAACGGCTGATCAGATCATAACGGGTGAGTAATTCATAAAAAATGAATTTCAGTGCATGATCCCCGCTGGCCTCATTGAGGGAAAAGACATCAAAGGACCACTTGTCCACATCCTGCATGGCAGGGAAAGGAGAAAGAATGCATTAAGTCCCCAGCCACTTGTACAGATACCTGTCTCCCCACTTGGGGAGTCGCCCCACAACCTTCACCCAGGATTTCACAGCCCAAGACTCTAACACCATTTCTGCCCTCAAACTTTTCCCAGCTTGGCAGACCCACATAGCATTTACTAATAACATAATTAAATAGTCTTACTACTTATAAGAACAACTATAATTTATTGAGTGCCTACCATATGTGAGGCATTGTGATCAGTGATAAATACATAATGTATCCTGAAAACGAATCTAAATGGCAGGTGTTATTAGTCACATCTTACAGATGAGAAAACTGAGAAGTTAATTTCCCTAAGACCTATCACAAGGGCACTGCTAGGGATGGGATCAGGACACAAACATGGTCAACAGACGCCTAAGCTCAGGCTCTTTCCATTAAGCCTGTCACTACCACTGCTGAATTTCAAACGTCTATTTCACTTCATGACAACCTAAAGTGCTTCCCTATTGCAAACATCTCGCCAGTCCCTTACTATTACCTCCTGACTTCCTCTTAGCCCACAGTTGATTATGTTAATCCACTTAAAAGTCTTCAGAAACATGTTCAATGCGGAACACAAATCATGTGTCCCTTCAGTTCAAACTGCTGAGCTAAAACCATGGAAAAAGCCTTCATTTCACAAAACAGGAAAATGTGACCTCTTCTGGCGTCACTGATCTGTGAACCTAGTCCTCAAATCTGTCAGTCACTTTACTAAAAAAAGTAAAACTGAGAGCTAAGCTGAACGCACTCCTCACACATCAGTCTTTAAGTTCAAAGCCTTATTTGTCTATAAATAGCTACTCCAAAATAGATGTAAACATTGTCTGATGTGTCTTTGACTTACAACCAGCTACCGGTGGATACAGTAAACAAAGGTGTGTTTAAGCAGCAGCCAAAGCAACAGTCATTTGGTTTTCTTGTGTCAAGAGTTTCACTTTCAGGGATGCCTGGGTGGCTCAGTCAGTTAAATGCCTGCCTTTGGTTCAGGTCATGATCTCAGGGTCCTGGGATCGAGTCCCACATTGGACTCCTTCTTCAGCAGGGAGCCTGCTTCTCCCTCTGCCTGCTGTTCCCCCTGTTCTCCTTCTCTAACAAATAAATAAAATCTTACCCAAAAAAAAGAAGAAAAATAAGAGTTTCACTTTCAGTAGTTATAGAAAGTGTGCTGTCATAAGTGGACATATGTGAGACCACACAAGGACACATGTGAGACCACACAGAGTCCAGGAAAAGTCAGATGGTTCCCTGGAAGAGACTCTTCTGGAACTGCTGGACTGAGGGGCTCTTACCTCAGCCCTCAGTGCATTCCAACATCATCCATCTATCCCAACCCTGTCCTCCCTCAAACATCCCAACCACTGAAGATCATCCCAAGGTTATTAAGGGTCTCCCTCATGGACAGGAGGGCACAGGAAAACTGAAGTATATATAGGGAAAGCCAAACTTTTCCGAAAGGCTTTCAACTGGCTTGTTTCAGTTGACTCTTAGTGGTAACCTCACCTCAGCCTTCTAACATTTCTCCTCCATTATAACAACTAAAGAAATAGCTACAAGCTGAGCACACTGTCTGTGCCAGGCAGAGTGAAAAGGGTTTATATACGTTTGCTCATCCTCATAAGCCTACATATAGGTGTTACTTCCCCCACTTTTAAGGAAGTGTCTAATGCCATTTGGTACCAGAACTAGGTAGTAACACCACTGACATCATTGTCAACAGTGATATCATTGTCAATAGATGAGATTATAAACTCAATGAATACATGCTGTGACCCAAGCCTCATGCCCTACATACCCCAATAGGGCCTAGGCCATAGACAGTGGGGCCCTTTAGGATTAACCCAAGACCTAAAGCTTCACCTTAGCTACTATAATTGATGTTGTCATGACATCCATTAGTCCTAAGGAAAAGTCCACTGACAACTCAACAGATGAGAAAACATTTTGTCACATCTGCAATGTTTACTCTTCTTCTCCAGAATGAATAAAAAAGAGGAGAGCTATCACTGAAAATAGAGAAATGATCACAGTAAGAAGTCACAATCGATTCAGGATCTCAGGACTTAGAGAAACAGGATGAGTGTGAATAGTCACTTGGATGTTCTGTCCCGCTACTCATTTTATGTGATTTTTAATCACGGCCTTCGCTGTGATTCTCAAATTTTAATGTTCTACAGAACCACTTGAAGTGCTCAGGGAAAAAATGTTGATTCTCAGCTGAGGGACTTCCAGAATCCTGGCCTGGGACCTAGAATCTGCCTTTTTAACAAGGACCGAGTTTAACCGTCTTTAACCATCTTAAGCCATTCTTCTTCTCTTACCAGACATGGCCCAAGTCCCATTCCCGAGGAAAAACTTCAGGAACTTCCTGTCAGTCTAATGTAATGGAAGTCTGAACCTCCTCTTTTCCTCCCACTTTAAACCTAGAGTCTACCAAGGGTATCTCTTTTTAAGTCACACAACAGACACCTTGTAAACAACAACACACTTCTACAATTCCAGTACCCCCACCTCAAAAGCCTAGAGATAAGACCCCCCCAAATCAGAAGTTAGAATATATTGGATGGAAAAAATTAAAAGTGGTGGTGGTAGATATTCTCCTACTTAAATGTGATTTCATGCCCTGTTCTTACATTAATCACAAAGGTTAATATGACTGTGGCATGACAGTTATTTTACTGAATTATACTCTCTCAGTTGGGGGGGGGACTTTCTTGTAATAGAAGAAAGCAATGGCCAGTTCATATAAACTGCTGGCAGTGAAGTAGAAATAACCGTTTCTTAAACAGGTACTACCTAAAAACAGAAAGAAAAAAAAGAAAGAAAGAAAGAAAGAAAATATCTGTGCGATTCTGCCAACTCATCTTCAATCCACTGCAGATAAAACCAGAGACTGGGGGGGTGGGAAATACTATCTTGTAAAAAGATCTTAAAATCCCCCAGTAAACAGGGGCCAGGCTCAGGAGAAAACGCAGCTCTAGACTTATGCGCATGATCAGCAATACTTCTGCAGAAGGGTAGCCGTTCAGGGAGTTAACTTAAGGGTACTTAAGATAAGCAGCATTTAATCTTGGTCTGAATCATCTAGGTAGGTTCCTTTCTCCTCAGAAAGACAACATGTGGGCATCTGAGAGTGACCTTCATATCCCCCGGTCGCTCCACATCTTTTTCAGTTATTTTGCACAGAAAAGATGCTTCAATCCAGAGGAATATTTTTATAAATGTCTTAATACTTGTATAACCACCTGTATTTATGTTCATGGCAAGAGAAGAAATTAAAGATAAAGGATTCTTTTAATGTCCCGAAGACTTTCATTGAATGATTTGGGTTCAGTTATGAAAATCAATGCAGCTTCCTAGCGGGTGTTATGAAACATCAGATCTCATGCAGTGATTTCACTGATTACATGGCAAATGTGGCTGTAAATTACACTGGTGCACTGGGCACTGGTGGGGGTACTGAAGAGGAGTGAGAAGAAACATGTCTTCTTGCTGCATCCTTCTTGAGCAACTTTTCTGTTCTTAGGATGAGTTAAGAGACAGAAAATGGACAACTGGCAATTTGAATATAGGGTCTAACAAATTTAACTAGTGAATGTCTTTAGGCAAGAGAAAGAGACTGAAATACAAAATCAAAATGGCCCTAAAAGTCTTTCTTGACATTAAGTTGATCATGAAGCTCTCCCAACCCTGATTCCATAAGTAGGTAATTTAAGTATCATGTAATACATGTTTCAGATTACAGAGATAGACAACAGTAGCCACAACAATAGTAAGAATGGGGGCGCCTGGGGCGGGCAGTTGGTTAAGGGCCCTACTCTGTTTCAGCTCAAGGTCATGGTATTGAGCCACATGTTGGGTTCCACACTCAGCAGGAAATCTGTTTGAGGTTTTTTCTCCCTCTCCCTCTGTTCCTCCTGCTTATGCTCTTTTTCTCTCTTTCTCTAAACTAAATAAATAAGGGGTGCCTGGGTACATCAGTCATTAGGCGTCTGCCTTCGGCTCAGGTCATGCATGATCCCAGGGTCCTGGGATTGAGTCTCGTATCAGGCTCCCTGCTCCCCAGGAAGCCTGCTTCTCCCTCTCCCACTCCCCCTGCTTGTGTTCCCTCTCTCGCAGTCTCTCTGTCAAATAAATAAACAAAATCTTAAAAATAAATAAATAAATAAATAAATAAATAAATCCATCTTAACACACACAAACGCATCCATATGCTAGGATCTCCCTAAGCAAATGGATGACATGATTCCGTGTATAGATACCATGCAGTGTCAACTGGCCAGGTGATCCTGACCCTTAGCACAGCCCCCATACTCAAATCCAGAAGCCAAATCAGCTTTCACACAGCCAGGACAGCCTCCAACCTCCAACCTGAACTGATCCAGCCCTAAGAGGAATACAGACACTTTGAGGCTCTTAGAGAATATTCTATACAATTCTAAAAGCTTGCCTGAGTGGGAGTAATTCTGCAAGATTTAGCTCATTGAAACTCAAATACCTGTGTAACTTCCCATGGAACTTTCGGGCTCCGTGAGAGTCTTGGGTAAACAGGAGCATATATAGGTTCGGGGGACACACATTCACGGAGGAAAATGTTATTGAACACTTACTATGTGATTGGAACTCCGGTATCAGACCTTAGTTCTTCTGGCTCTAGTTAACTGTATCTTTTTAAAAATCTCACTAAGTCTCCGTTTCTTCATCTACAAAATGGACTTAGAGTAGATAATCAGATAATGATACAACTATGATCCCATCAAAGACCCCACCCCATCCATGGTGATGTAGAAAGGCATGAGACCCACACAGTCTGAAAAAAAATTAGCAAGTCAAAGGCAAAAAGATCATGATACTGTAAGAACAGGTAAGTAAAAAACAATGAAAGAATAAGTCAGGAATGACTGGGAAACCTGTAAGTGAACCATAAACGAAAGCCTTTTGTTTTCTAACAACAAATATAACTGTACCTCTTATAAGATACCATGTCAGATTTTTTTTGGTATTACCTTTAATGCTTCAATAACAGCTGGTGGGTAGCTCAGTCCAACCATGTTTGATGTTCTTCTATACATTCTGGCAAAGTCAGAGGGGGGGAAAATGCAGTATTATTTCTTATGAAGAAGACTTACACTAAATACTGACAAATACGAGAAGTTGGGTCAGCCGGTGAACCAAGAAACCGTTTTTTATAACCTTTTTCACAGTCATTCAAGTGACCTCAGACAGAGTTACATTCGAGAGAAATTAAAGCAATCCCAAATACATGAATCATTGGAAACAAACAAAAATTAATCAATGGGCCTCAAATTGGAAATTCAGTTATTAAAATGGGTCACTTCTTCTGCCAGAAGTGAATTATAGTACAGCATAGACAGTATGCAAAGGAGTACTTTAACCTGAATGAGGAACACCTATGGGCAACTCATTTGGAAGACCTTGTTCTTTAGAACTCTCAAAAACAAGAAGGAAAATGTCCCAGGTGACCTTTGAACTGAATGTGGCATTTCTAAGACCTGTAAATGTACAATAAGGATTACAGGAACAATAAATTGATTTGTGAAATAATGATCGTAGGAAAACTAAAGCAATTTCTGGAATCTGTTTCTGGGGAAGGGGGCAATTTAATTTAAAGAGCAAAATGGCTAACAAAACTGGAAAGCATCATGGGGAACTCAAAGCCTTTAAATAAACTGTCACCCCCCCAGGTCAACAACCTCAAGGCATCCCTGCCCTGTTCCATGTATGTCAAAGGACGATGGATTAGATGATGTTTTTTTTTTAAAAATGGGAGACTGAACTGACACCAAATATTTTCTAGTCAACAAAAGGAGTTCTGAGCAAAGGCAAAGAATTGTCCCAATGATGCTACAAAGATGAAACAAATACGTTTTTGCAATCTCTCCTTCAAGACTACCTGTTTCCACCAGCATTTTCAGTGTCTATAAAGATACAAAAATTACATCAAAGCAAAGCTTCCAGTTATTGGAAACTGGTGTCCTTTTTGCTGCTTTGGTCACTGAATGGCAGCCCTCCTTACCTCTCCACAAATATCCCAGCCTGCACTGCATGGACAATGCTCTTAAACCGTGGCTTCTCCTCGCTCCTTCTGAGCATCATCCCCATCTGCCTGGTGAAGGTGGAGGCCAGCCAGTCTCGGACCTCAGAAGGCACTGCATCCGACTGAATGTCACTGAGCTCATCCTCCGTATCCAGAAGTCTCCTGAACATAGGAAACACAACCAGGACACTGAGATTACACCTGCAGTTGGAGCTCTCAGAACAGCTGCTCCTTTCCACCCCACCTGAATACACAGGTACAAAGAAACCGAACAAAAATGGCCACAAAAAACGCAGCCCCTTTTTGGTAATGCTTATAAAAGTTACCATTGTGTTTCAGGATGGTTTGCTCTACCAGACTGTACAAAGAAACAAAGAAACCAGAGAAAGTCAAGTATGCTCCATCTCAGGCTGTGGGTCCCAGACCCACTCCACTAAGGAGCCCCCAGTATCTTGTGGAATTTGAATGGGATCTAAATCTTCCATTTAATAATGCATTCACAGGGAGCTTTGCTTAGATGGACGATGTGGTGTTAGTTTGTGTTTAAAAAAAAAAAAAAAAGAACATTTAAAGACTTTGCTATAGATAATAATACTGTATCACAAACTTCAAAGTTGCTAAGAGACTAGATCTTAATTGTTCCCACCACAACAAAATAATTATGATTCTGTGGCATGATAGAGGTGTTAGCTAATACTCTGGTGGTAATTATATTACAATATATAAATGCCTTAACTCAACTCATTGTACAACTTAAAGCTATACAAAGTTATACATCAGTTATACATAAATAAAATAAATCTTTAATAAAAATAAATTTAAGATAAAATAAAAATAATTTTTTAAAAAATTAAAGATTTTTAAAAGAAAAAGAAAGACTTTGTAAAATATTACCCAAATCACATCAACCCAGTCCTCTGTGGTAATAAACGGAAATGATGTCAATTGATATTCATTCTACTTTGATAGAACAGTACAGAAATGTAAATTCTAAATACAAGCAAAATTTCCAAAATAATGCAGTTCTTTATTTGAGCTCAGTGATTTAAGTCATCTGTAAGATATGCTTAGCTGATTTTTCAAATTTGTTCCTAGGTCAAACCACCAGAAGAGAACATAAATAATGGTAAGTTATAATAAAATTGTATTTTATACTTATATTAAGCCCTACTAAAAATAAACTGTAATCAGGTATCAGTAAAAGAGTTTTTAAAAAAGGTTGTTGGGTTTTTTGTTTTTTATTTTTTCCTTTAGACACATCAATTGGAGGATGGATAAAATGTAACATTGGAAAAATGATGCTATCAAATTTCCTTAAATTAATTAAACCAAGGAAGTCACCAAAAACTAAACCACGTGCATACTCCTCAGATTAGTGAGAAATCCTTTCAGATTGGAATCTGGCATAGAGAAATTAAGCCTGAAAGAGGAGCCTGAATTAGGAAAGAGAAGAAAAGCCTTGCAAATTCACCATGTCAACATTTTTCAAAAGAAAAGCTCTTTTGCTCCTTTCAGATGAATTTGGTGACAGGCAGTGCTTTAATACCTTTCAGTAATTCAGGTGGGAAGAGTCTATTAAGAAAATTGGTAATGTACAAGATCAAAGGAGGAATTCTGGGTCCTTAAGAGGAAAAATGCTTTACAGTCACTTCAGGAACCTCCATTGACAGACAATGTGAATTAACACATGAACACAATTTTTAGGCTGAGGCTAACAGTGTGCAATTATTACAGTGGAACTCTACACCTGAGAAGAAATCTTACCATGTTTTTAAAAATCACTTTTTCTCCTCTTCCATTATCTTATTTCATTATCACAATGGCCATGTAAGAAAAGTTTAGTTAGCTCTCTCTCCCATGAGGAGGCACAGAGGCTAGGAGAGAGGTCCAAATTTCATTTTGTGGAAAACGAAGCTCCATCACCCACCATTTCAGTGGTACCCCATTACAGGCCAAGGGGGACATTTCAGAAAAGCCACATAACAGAAAACCGACCCTCAGTGTACTAACTTTTCGACATGTTTTGCTTACCTGGTTTCATCAATGTACACAGATTCAAGCACTGTGGCTGCATATTCCAAATTCTTCTTAAGATCTACCACCGAAGCCTCGCCTCTCTCTAATTGTTTGACTAAAGATCGTAACCTAGGGGGAGAAAAGACAGAACTAAATTAGAATAGAGAAGACCATGAATAATCCTACAATCCCAGCAACACATTTTACAGGCACAGAGTATTTTTATTTATTCCAATTTACCTGGAAGGAAAATAGAAATCTAATAATGATGGAGCTGACCAGCATTTCTCAAAGGAGCAAATTATAAAAGAAATATATACGTTTTTGCCACTGTGAAGCAAGAACAACAATGTTCTCATCCACCAGGCACAGACCACCCCCAAGTCCTTCTAGCTGTCTTTTATCTTTCTAAGAATTCCCTAAATTAGCAATGATTTTGCTGCTTCTCTAATTTCAATTTTTTTAATTTTAATTGGATATAATAAAGCATGAACCACACCAACGTCACCAAATACCACTTGAGATTCTGCTATGTTAAAAATCATACTATGGGGGCGCCTGGGTGGCTCAGTGGGTTAAGCCTCTGCCTTCGGCTCAGGTCATGATCTCAGGGTCCTGGGATCGAGTCCCGCATCGGGCTCTCTGCTCAGCGGAGAACCTGCTTCCTCTATCTCTCTCTCTGCCTGCCTCTCTGCCTACTTGTGATCTCTCTCTGTGAAATAAATAAATAAAATCTTAAAAAAAAAAATCATACTATGTTTGTTCAGCCATGACCAACTTCTTGAGCCTGCATGAGCAACCTCAGGGTCAATGCATATTCCAAAACAGGTGAAGAGATTCAGAGCACCAAAATACCCACAGAGGCTACATAAGGAATACACAAAGATAAATTACTTTACTAGGCAGGAGGAATTCCTCTAGGGGTAGATAAATACCTCAGATTTAAGGGAAAAAAAAGAGAGAGAGAGTGGCTGGACGGTAAAGCAAAGTACTGAAGACAGGATCTTCCGCCCTGCTAGTCAAGTGTTCCAGAAAGTGTAAGAGAAATGACAAAACAGGCCCTTTCATTTATATCAACATTATCCCCACAGGGAAGGGGTTAGTATATATGAGAGCAAAAAAATAACAACAGATGATCAAAGTCCAGTAACTGAGAACACTGTAAAAATCAGAGATGTGGAGGTTGGAGAACACCTTGGGCTGTTTGATGGCCAGCAAAGGGAAGAACAGGAGCTTTGAGGACAACCTTGGGTTTGAGCCCCACATCACAACATATTAGCTATGTTATACCAGGTAAGATATTTAACTTCCCTGAGTGTCAGCTAAATGAAGGAGATCCAACCACCAAATTTTCTAAGTTGATATAAAGTTAAATCAAACTGATATTAATATATTCACATCAAACATGAGGTTTTTTGAGCTTTATTTAATATGATTAACATATCACATTGTGTAAGGTGTACAACATGGTGATAGGATACACATATATATTGCAAAACACTTACCACAATAAGGTTAGTTAACACATCCATCATCTCAGACAATTATAACTTGTCATGGTGAGAACATTAAAGATTTACTCTTAGCGACTTTCAAGTATACAATATTTGAAACTAATAACTTGCTAATTATAATCACCAAAACACATTAGATCCCCAGAATTTATTCACCTCAAAACTAAGTCTATATTCTTTGACCAACATTTCCCCTTTCCTGGTTGTTTTTCTAAAGGCAATTGTTACCTTCATTGTCATTGTTGTTATTTAGTGACCTTGATGATCCCAGGCAACCAAATGGGAAACATTCTAGCAATATACTTAAGATTAGTATCAAGTCTCCATCTCCCAAGCCTGTTTGCACTTTCCTGACTTCAAAATATTCTCAAGATTTGCCGTCCTAAGTGAGGATAGTTTACTTCGTGGCAAGGTGTAAATTATTCCCCTCCAGATCTCCATGAAAATGATCAGCAGTAAAGACTGAGGAAAAACTCTGGATCCACCTTAAACAGTACGATCAGCCATACAAAAGGAATTCCCAGGGATTTCAACAACGTAAAATAGAAAAAAAAAAAATTAGATTGAGCGTGGTCACTACCTGACTTAAGACTCTCCAACATGTTAACAGGGAAGTAGACAAAGGAAACCAGCAGAGTCCTCTGTGGGCCCAGAGGTGAGGATCAGCCCTGTGGTTCCCATTAGGAAGTGTTCTGGGTTTCAGGGACAGCAAGACAGGGAGTTGGCATGGAATGGCTTACCAGTCACTCACACAGAGTGGACGGCCAGTCTGCCAAAGAATGGGGAGATTGTAGCTGTGAGCCCTGAGATCTATTCCAAATAAGGTTTGGAAGCTCTTTAGCAAAACACATTCCTGGCTAGGTTTGCCTCTGATTTTGACTCTCACCTCCAGGGGCCCAACCACCCCCAAGCTGTCTGGACTCTCAAATAGCAAAGTAAAATGAGGGTAAATTTAAGGATTTTAAAAATTTTCTCCCTTCATTTGGGGCTTGAAGATTCTACCAGGAATTGACATGACTCTCTATTGAGAGATTGAGAAAACTAAGAGGAAAAACGACAAAAAGAAAAAAAATGACTAGGCAAATATAACATTAATAAAAATAAGAACCAGGTGATCCTGTCCACCTATAAATCCAGAGAAGAAATAATATAGAATGAAGTATCTTTAGGATACATAAAAAGTGCTAAAAATTCATATCTACTCCCGTTTCTCGGCTTGTGAGATGAGTAAAAGGTTCTATCAACACCCTGGCAGACATAAAGGAAACCTAGAACACACCCACTGTGTTTATGGAGAACACCCAGCTGACATCCACCTCTCTTTATTCAAAAACAACCAAACAGAAATAAATATATATATCTCAACAAAAAGATTTCAGCATTCAAGAATGCAGAGAATACCACACTCAAAATGCAGAGAAAGGACTCACTTTTTTTTTTTAAGATTTTATTTATTTATTTATTTGACAGAGAGACAGAGATCACAAGTAGGCAGAGAGGCAGGCAGAGAGAGAGGGGGAAGCAGGCTCCCTGCTGAGCAGAGAGCCCGATATGGGGCTCGATCCCAGGACCCTGAGATCGTGACCTGAGCTGAAGGCAGAGGCTTTAACCCACTGAGCCACCCAGGTGCCCAGGACTCACTTTTGAAAATAAAATGTACTAATTGCAACAAATGTACTAATGGTAAATTTTAGGGAACATCTACTTTGTGTTCAATAAAATTCAAGAAAACGTGGATCTGTGAAACAAAGGTGAAAGCTGAAATCATAATGTAATAAAAAAGCAAATCTACTGAGACAAGAAAAGAAATTACAAAGAAACAAAATATGACAATAGAAAGACTACATGAACTATAAAAAAAAAAAAGGTAAATGGTGACCAACTTTTTAGACAACAAGCTCCTATTTGGACTGGCACCCACCAGGTACAATCCATACCTGTCCCTGCCCACATAGCTGCTGGCATTATGCTTTATGCAGCTGTCACACAAGCCCTAGAAGGTTCCAGATGTCCTATTGTCAAGTATTGTTGGGCTCGAAGAGAGCATTCAGGTGGGTGTTCCTCCATTGGTCCCTCAGTCCACTCTCTCCTCTTTATCACTCCTGGAACATGATGCCCCATCCTTCCCCACCTACCACCTACCTCTTGGTGAAATTGCTGCTTCGTGAATGAAAAAGTTTCAAATGGGCCCTTTCTCCACTGACACCAACTAGATTCAAAAATTTTGAAAATTCCTGAAGTTTCTGGGAATAAGGGGGCATCCTCCCCTATTTTCCATCACAGTTTAGGTTTTCCCTAGATCTGAATCCATCTTAAGAAGGATTGCCTGAAAATAGCCGTCTAATAAAGTATCTCATAGCCACGTTATAAAGCATTTTTGTTAACCCTGGAGAACACTAGCTAAGGCAGGAAGGCTCCGATGCCTTCCTTTGCTCTCCTCCTGAAATCATCTGGATGTTTTATCATGTGGGTTCATTTCACCTAAAAGCCTATGTCCCCAAGGACAGATCCCATGGTAAGCTGTATGCCATATAACTAGCTATTTAATACTATTCATAAATAATTCTGGTTCAGGCACCTAAAGCAAGAGAGGGAGGGAGAAGGTTGAAGGAGAGGAAAAGGAAATATACAACAATAACAATAATAAAGTTCCTCTTCTAAGTGAATGTTCATAGTTTCCAGCACTCCATCCATTTCTGTCACCATGGCTGCCAGATAATAGTTCCAATATAGAAGTGCAACACCATTTTAGGAATAGCTTATGCTTTCAAACTTTGGCAACACGCCTTTCTGTTAGGATAGCATGTAATTTCGTTGTGGATGAGCCACGGCAGCCTTACGTGAGTCCTCCATTTCTCCACAGACACTGTTTTCTACAGGCTTCCTGGCTACAAGACATATGATGAAATGCTATGCTTCTTCAGTTTTCTGTGCCCTCAAGCCCAGGGCAAGTCCCAGATGCTGAGTTACCTTGAGACTATGCAATTATCTGAAATGCATAAAAGCGTCACAAGAGAGGAACTAAGGAAGGAAAGGCTGAACACTGTATTTTGGAATTTGAAAAGGCTGTTGGAATAGAAAAGAGAACATCTTCTTTTTTTGCACAAAGATAATTTCTAGGACGAAGGGGGTTGATTTTATTATGAAATAACTTTTTCCTTTTTTTTCTTTTAAGATTTTATTTATTTATTTGACAAAGAGAGAGAGAGAGAGAGTGAGAGCAGGGACACAAGCAGAAGGAGGGGGAGAGGGAGAAGCAGGCTTCCTGCGCAGCAGGGAGCCCAATGCGGGGCTCAATCCCGGGACACTGGAATCATGACCCAAGCCAAAGGCAGACATCCAATGACTGAGCCACTCAGGTGCCCCAAGTTTTTCTTTTTTTAAGTAGATTCCATAGCATAGCCAGTGTGGAGCTCAGCGCAGGGCTTGATCTCGTGACCCTGAGATGGAGACCTGAGCTGAGATCAAGAGCTAGTTGTTTAACCAGACTGAACCAACTGGACACCCCAGGATAACTTTATGACTCAACTTCGTAACCCAGAAAATTGCCCTACAATGAACTAGGCACTATTCCCCACCCTAGTAAGGTCCTGAAAACCCTACAATACTATGCCT